TTCCCCCATTCTTCTGACCTCTGCCACATCATCAGAAAAAAAATTTTTTTAAAGATTTACTTATTTTTACTACAAAGTCAGATATACTGAGAGGAGAACGAAGAGGAAGATCTTTTGTCTGATGATTCACTCCCAAAGTGGCCACAATGGCTGGAGCTCTGCCAATCCAAAGCCAAGAGCCAGGAACTTCATCCGGGTCTCCCACACGAGTGCAGGGTACCAAGGCTTTGGGCCATTCTCGACTGCTTTCCCAGGCCACAAGCAGGGAGCTAGATGGGAAGTGGAGCTACCGGGATTAGAATTGGTGCCCATATAATATGTCAGCACGTGCAAGGTGAGGATTTTAGCTGCTAGGCCACTCTGCCAGGCCCAGAAAACTAAACTTCTTATGTTACCAATTAAAACTTCCTTTTTTCTTGAGTTCCTCTAAGGCAATCCGGATTCTACTGAGAGCTTCTATTACAGCTTGGCACTGTTGGAAGTGGGGTCTCTTGAGTTTCTCTCACCTGTCATTCAACACTGTGCAGGCTGCAGAACAATAGCAGCAAACATGGCAGCCAGTTTCTTCTGCCAAGTTTCTATCTTCAACAGCAATATAAAGAAGGGCAAGAATAGCTATTGCCAACACCACTTCCAATTCTGTTTACCATCAAGTTAGCTGAAAAACCTGTGTTTTTAAGTACTGCAATCAGGCCAAGTGACGTGGCCTAGCGGCTAAAGTCCTCACCCTGAACACGCTGGGATCCCATATGGGTGCCAGTTCTAATCCCACCAGCTCCATTTCCCATCCAGCTCCCTGCCTGTGGCCTGGGAAAGTAGTTGAGGACGGCCCAATGCCTTGGGACCCTGCACTTGCATGGGAGACCAAGAAGTAATTCCTGGATCCTGGCTTCGGATCAGCACAGCACCAGCCGTTGTGCTATTTGGGGAGTGAATCATTGGATGGAAGATCTTTTTCTCTGTTTCTCCCTCTCTGTGTATATCTGACTTTTCAATTAAAAATAATAATAATAATAAAGTACTGCAATCCTCTGGTAAATGTCTAGAATTTTGTAAAATCTGACAGATTTCACTTATGTCATTGTTCTAATAGATGAATATGTTGGATTTGGAGGTCCTTACTTGACCATTCTAGATTTTTTTTTTTTAATTTTTACCTTCTCTTTGAGGTTTTCCTTCATTGGGTTTTCTCTAATAATTGGGACAGTTTCATTTTTATCATTTTCCTGCCTGTAATTTACTGCCTCCAGTAGCTTTAATAAATGCAATGAAGAATACTTTTGAAAATGTTACAGGTAATAATTAGTAGAATTACTGCTACATTCATAGCAAAATCCTTTAAATTAATCCCCAAAGGAAAAAACTGAACATCCCTTTGACAGCACTGCAGGCTGTTATTTGGTCCAAGTTTCTGTCTGCCTCAGCTTCATCTGGCACTGCTATTTTTGTGAGCCCCAGCCTATCTGAAAACTTTGTTTATCCAATGTAATATCCTTCATCTCAGAACTCTTGTCTAGATTACCTATGTCTAGCATGCCATCCAGATGAAGGAAAGTTCTGTGAGGAGCATAATGTATTTTCCATGTGTACGTAACAAGAGATAAATTTGCATTTTCAAGTATTTGATTCATGTTAATCTTTCTCATGAAACTTTAACAATGAGAATATACACGTGAAATATCACTTTTGGTTCCCTGACTCTTGTGTAGTACCAACACACATTAGCTATTTGGCTAAAATAAATTAACATATATGTTTTAGAAAACATAGTGAAAATTAAAAAGCAAAAGCACACTTTATTTAGTAAACAAAATGAAACTTAAAAAGTAAACCTTATTCCACTTAATCCCATCCTTCTTTGTTCTTTTTTCCCACTGTGAGGAGGATCCTTGCTGCACAGAGGGTCCCTGTCCTTGCCCCAGGACCTCTCTACCTCCCATTTTCCCCGGTTCACCCTCCCCCACTCAGAACCTTCCTCCTCCATAGCCTTCACTTCCTGCACGGACACCAGGTTCCCAAGCCCCTTCTCTCCACTTCCTGCTCTGACGCCATCTTCCCAGCTCCCCTCCTCTCCTCCAGGTGGGAGAATCTCATCCGTCACCTTGCCTTTCTCCTCGACATAGCAGGACCCTGTACTCCATCTTCCCTTTCTCCTTCATGTGGTAGGACCCCATCCACCATCATGCCTTTCTCCTCCACCTGACGGAACCCTGCCCACCATCTTGCCTTTTTTCACATGGCAGCATCCTATCTGCCATCTTGTCTTTCTCCATTTTCACCAGCTGCCTAACCTGCTCTCCCTTTTTGGGTTCTTCTGACTTAACCCCAATAATGCCCGTTTCCCTGCTGCTGCAGCTGCAGCTGCTTTCTTCACTCTTCTTTCTCTCTCTCGCTGACACTGAGGGACTCAGGCTGCACAGTTTGGCCTCCAGACCTTAAAGGGATGGCTAATTTGTCAGACCAAGAAGCCTAATTATCTTCTCATAGGCATTACCTTAAAACTGTTAGGACTATGCCTGTAACTACAAATTCCTAGATCAGTCCATTAAGGAATTCAGGGATAGAATTGAGCATCCCTTTAGCTGACATCCCAAGGCTGCCTCTGTGGCCCACTTTAATCAGGGCCCAGAGGAAGAGCAGTGAGCTAGGCAGCAGGAGGCTCATTAATGCGGCTTTATACAGTAACCTATTCTCCAGGAGACCCAGCAAGCCTAGTCTACCCTCAAGTAGCACCTGCTTGCAATAGGGAAAGCCAAAAGATCAGGCAACCAGCTGCCACTGATAGAAGTGGCTTTCAAAGAAACTTGTTAGCTCTGCCAAGAGCCTGGCCATTAGAAATGGAACTGCCCTGGGAGTCCAAGTATTCCTGGGTCAGAACCATGGTGGGCCACACCTAGAAAGCCCTTCACTCGGCCCTGCTCCCAAAGCATCCGTCACTATGGAGGGATGGCCTGGGGTCAGCAACATCACAGGAAAAGCTGTATATTCCATCCAGAGACACCACCTGTTCTGTACCAAGCCTCCCTTTCAGGCCAGCTCTCTTCTGTCTAGCCAGGTAATGGGAGTCAATGGGATGTCTCCCCAGTTTCACACTTCCTTTATGATGTCTCTTCCAGTACCCCACGTGAAGAGATAGATGGTCCTGGACCTTACATACACCTGGCCAACTTTTGGGTTTGGGTAACAGTAGAACTTTCCTGGGTGCATCTAGACTTGAAACTCCAGTGTCCATGTGTGCAAGACCTTAGAAACAGTTTTTACTAGCTGGCACTGTAACCTTGAAGGCCACTGTCTACTGGAGCTCTGGCCTTACCATAAGCCCTTACTTAGCTCCTGCTAGCAGCCAGAGTCCCCATGAACAGAGGGAGGGAAAGAATATAGAATTAGAAGCAGGCCAGACTATACCTCCTGTCTGTTTCTCAAGGCCTCACTAGATAATCTTAACCAGTTTTCACACATGTTCCTGCCTAAGCCTCCCCATTAATTCCATACAACAAAAGGCCAGGATATTGGGGCTCAGTATAAGCATTCCCAAGAGCCAGTTATGGCACCAGTGTGGTGGGATTCCAGCCGATGAATGGCACACCTGAACGGACATTCCTTACATAATTGGGGCATAGACAGCCCCTTTGCCAGTCCACGTGTCTAGAGGAGTATAAAACTCCCAGACGTATATCTCAGCTGTCCTTTTCACCTCCATCTTCCTTCTGCTCTGCATAAAGGCGGGCCAATAAAGCCTCTGTTTCAACTATGGATAACTTGCGGATATTATTCCACCAGCAGGCTGGTGGTCGGCGGTTGTCACCTAACAGTTTTCATGTATTTTAACTAGTTAGTAAGATGGTCAAAGCATCTTTTGATATGTATGTATCCAGGATAGGAAGGGATGCTAGATTTTAGGTTTATATTGTACATGCAACTGCAGGAAAATTTCTCAAACATTTGGCGGTAGTTGACACCAGTGTCGGAAAGGAACTGCAAGTGGAGATGGGAACGGGATGAAGTAATCCTATAGTCTTATTATTATTATTTGGTAAGCATAACAGTGACTCGTTTATTAAAGTATTTGGAAAAGATTCATAGTCTTGTAAACAATTTTTCCTTTCTAAACATTTGTATCTACGTAAACATGAGTACAAGCTGAAGGAAGCACTGGAAATTAGCCAAAAAGTTACTTTAACAATCTAATATTTACTACTGGGTGGTGGAATTATTGTTGATTTTTTTAATGCCTATTGACTTATTTTATTTATTTGAAAAACAGAACAACGCAGAGAGCTAAGCATAAGTGAGGCCAAAGACAAGGAAAGCCAGGAATGCCAGCTGAGTCTCCCACACTGATTATGGAGGCTTAAGTACTTGCCCCTATTCTGTTTTGCTGCACCGTACGCAATTTTTACCGGACGTCCCAGGATGGGAAATAAGTACCAAAAAGTTGGTTTTAGAGAAGTTAACATGAAATACTAACTACGAATCCAGGCTTTTAGGGCGAATAGAACCATATGTACCCCAAAATATTCTTTAGTCCGATATCCAAGGCCCTACTATATCCAGAGGAGTATTTTACATGTTTAATGTGATTTAACCACGACTGTTCAGTTATGGAAATTGTTCAGTAAGCTCGACTCGCCTCTCGGCCTTCTGGCTAAACCAAGCAAAACACAGGGGGAGACTCGGCCACCTAGCCTCCCCTCAGGCACTAAGGCTCTGCGTTCCGCGCAGAAATGCAAACAACCCGATTCTTAACTTTCTCCAGTGCCGCTAGGGACACAGGGACTCGGAGAACGCGCGCTTTAAAGCGCTCCAAAGAGAGACAAGGATGCAGGGCCGCGGGGCAACACGGGGCACCCAGCCACTTGGCTAGCGAGACACCCATGCCCGGGGGAGCTTGCTCAGTGTAGCCGGGTACGGCGGTCGGTCAGTACCTTTACTCTCCGCTCTTTAAGTGCCTCACCTACAAACGCCAGGGCGCCGTCTCCCAACGCGCGGCCCGCAGCCAGAGCCCGACCCCTAGGCCCGCCCTATGAACGCCGGCCTCTAGCCACTTCCTCCTCCTTCTCCGCCTCCTTCCATCTCTTCTGCGCCTGCGCGACCGGAAAATTCGCGAAGGTTCCTGAAGCGGAACCGGCCGTTTCCGGAAGCCGGCAGCCGCCCTAGTCGTGGAGCCGGTTCTGCTGACCTGAGGGTTGCAGAGGCACTCCTTTGCAGTTCCCGGCGTTTGGGTTTCGCCTGCAGCACTGAGAAAGGAATATGGCCTTGCTGTGCTACAACCGGGGCTGCGGCCAGCGCTTCGATCCCGAGACCAATTCCGATGGTAAGAGAAACCGTCGGCAGGCGCCCCTCTACCTGCCACCTCCTCCTCCTCCCTGGGAAGGAGGCCCTATATGGGCTGCAGGACGCCTGGGGTCCCGCGGGTGCCCCGGCTCAGCACCCCTCCGTCCCGGGCCTGCTTTGGCTGGGCCGCCTCTCTGCGTCCCCTGGACCCACGTGGTTCCAACCCCCTCCACCACCCCCGTCCCCAACCCCTTATTCTTCTGAGATTTGGAAGGAAACCCTTGGCCCCAGTCCCCTAGATCTCCGGGGGGAAGCAGAAACTAGCGAGACAGCCCTGAGCTCGCTCTGCGGTTCCCCAGGAGATAGTAGGCTAGACCTCTGCGGTGTGCAGAGGCCAGGAGGAAGGGCCCGCGAGTGAACCAAGCTTTTTAAGTTGTTTCCTTAGAGAAGTTTGTGGAGAGCCGTGAACCTTGCTGTTAGCAAAGGGACTTTGTTTCTGAGCCAGGGTTTCTTGGGCAGGAAACAAGTTACTGTGTATGTTTAAGCGGTTTGGATGCCTCCAGCCCTTTTATCTTTGATTTTGTTATCTGTTGTTGAGGTCTTCTCCAGGTGAGCAAGTGTCCTTTGAGACAGGTAAGTACAGTTAAGGACGCTAAGTGAAAGCATGCTACGTGAACCTTGGGGGAAAGCAGCAGTGAATTCAAATGTTGATTGGTTTTCAGAGGGGTGATTTCCTATGGTGAGAAATGAGGCCGCTTTTTCAAATCTTGCCAGCTTTTGTTGCTTATGCGTGGTAGACCAGGAGCTTGTTGTGTCACTTTCTAGTCTCCTGCCAAGCTCACAGCGGCGCCCTGAAGCTGGCAACGTCAGGCCTGCTTAGAAGAAATGCGCAGTTTTTCGTGAGCATGACCTCGGAGTCGTGCAATTAAATATTGATTGTTGAGTCCTTTTCACCTCTGTGATAATTTGAATATTTGTGAATTGGTGAGATGTTCAAAAGTAATAGAATCACTGATGCAAGATTTTAAGGAAGCAGAAGAGAAAATGTCAATCTAGTGTGTCCAGTTAGCTACTAAATTGACATAACTGTTAGTACTCAACGTCACTAACTGAAACTGAAGATTCAGTGGATTCTAATATCAACACATGAAGACTTTAAAGCAATCTGATGGTGATAACCTATGCAAAAATGTACTGCATTTATACCTGTACATAATCTCACTTAATATCAGATGTAGGGGAAGATTGATGCTTGGGTGTGTGACACATTTGTTCGAGGAATTGGGAACCTGCCCATAATTCAAGGGAGATGGAGCGTTTTGTGGGAAGCGTTGTGCCAGTGTGTTAAATGATGAAGGATCTAGGAAAGATGAGTGCAGCCAGGAGAACTTAAGAAGAACAGTCTTAAGGAATGTTGGTAAGCAATACCAGATGCAGCACAGGACTCTTAGAAGGGTGCTGCAAGTTTCTTTTTTAACAAAATGAGAGACTTTTAGTAAACTGGCTGGATGACTGAATAAAATGAATATACAGAGAGTAGGCAATAATAGCAAACTGTGGGCCTGGCTAGAGAAAAGCTTTATAAAATGCAAGAAGTTACCTAAACTGACATTATACACTTTATGCTTTTCATAAAGATTTATTTTAATTGGAAACGTAGCTCTATAAAGACAAGGAGATACAGAAAGATCTTCTGTCCACTGGTTCACTCCCCAAATGGCCATAGCAACAGAGCTGAGTTCATCAGGAGTCAGGAACAACAAGGCTTTGGGCCATCCTCTACTGCTTTTTCAAGTCATAAGCAGAGCAGTGAATGAGAAGTGAAGCAGCCCAGCCAGGACATGAAGCAGCACCCATATAGGATCCTGTTGCTTGGAGGTAGAGGATTAGCCTGTTGAGCCACAACACTGGCCCCTTATTTTATGTTTCTGACTGTATATTATTATGTCTGCAGTTTGCAAATACTGTATCTGTTCTCCATCTCTGTTCACTCTGGGTTTTATTGTGTTTTTACACAATTTATTTACAACTTTGTTTGTTAGCATTTAATCACACTCGGCTATTAAAGAGGCTCTTCTTAATCTGTGTTTTTAGTTACTGTACCGGGAAAACACTCAACACTTAAGAGTGTTGACTAAACACCATTTGTGTAACAAATGGTTACTAAAGGAAGCATACTAGTTATTAGAGTGCTATGGAAAAGTTCCTCTGGGTACTAGGAATTACTCGCTTTAAGGCAGTGCCAGGACGCAGAAGCTGTAGACAGTTGAAAACAAATCAGACAGTGTAGTGAGGTAACCTTGTAAGCAGAGTCCAGAAAAAAAGAGCTGACCTTTTTCCTCTAAGCTCATGGTATGTAGTGTGGAATAACTGTTTCTGTTATCTAATTTTTTAAAATAAAATACCCACTGTGTAAATTTTAACACATGCATTTTTCCTTACGACTGATAGCATAGCTCCACAGGGAGGGCAGAAGTACAGAATGACCTCAGTGACAGCCTGTAAATACGCTGCGTAGCTTTAACCTCTGCTGATGAGATCTGTACCTAGAAATTGACCCTGTCGGTAGTGTAGCAAGCTAAACCTTTGCTTTGGGACACCAGCATCCCATATGGGTCCAGTTCTTGTCCCAGGTGCTCCACTTCTGACCCAGCTCCCTACTAATGACATGGGAAGGCAGTGGAGGATGGCCCAAGTCACTGGGTGCCTGCACCTGTGTGGAAGATGTGGAAGAAGCTCTTGGTTCACAGCACTGGCGCAGAAACCATTTAACAAGTTAACCGGCAGACAGAAGGGATCTCTGAGTAATTCTGCCTTTCAGGTGAAATAATTAAATTCTTAAAAAAAAAAAAAAAAAAGGAACTTGTAGCTGTTATTTTAATGTTTATTTTTTCTTTGTTTTTTGGACCAGATGCGTGTACATACCACCCAGGTGTTCCCGTCTTTCATGATGCACTGAAGGTAGGATCTAGGTATATTTTTAGTTTCATTGTATCTATATGTCACATTTAGAGATATAATGTTAAATACATCTTTTTTTGTGACTTGTGTAATGTTTTCCACAATCCAGTTTTGTAGGTCTAAGGGTTCGTCCCCTACTTCCCTTACCTCCCCAGTTCCTAACTGCCACTTTTTCCTGTGTTGCTACAGTAGTATCCCCCAATACTAGCTACAAGTTTAACATTCTGATACTTAAATGTATCATGGCATGGTAAGTATAGGATATGGTTAAGCAAAAGAAGGCAATAGATAATAATCTTGTTTCCAGTGTAAACTTATGTTACTTGCTACATCCCTTTCTTCACTTTCCTGATTTTGAAGGAAAGTAGAGCAGTTACGTTGTTTCTCAATTTTTTCTGCCACCTCTGGCACCTAAGACCAGCAATGAATTTTAGATTATTGTAAATATTTCACAGTAGTGTTCTGGGTCAGACATGTAATAATAACTTTACTGATAAAAGAGATGTTCCAGGATTTCTACCTGTATTTCCTTGATGTTCTAGAGAATTAGAAAAATAATAGAATGCTGTTTAGCCAGGGTTGCAGTAATGGTCTCTTTAAAATTCATGATGCTGTGGTATATTTGAGGGGTTTCCTTTGTATGCTTCCAAAAAAAAAAAAAAGTTACAGTCAGGCTGTCTTGCTTTTAGGTGTGTACTACCACTATTGTTCTCAGGAGCAAAGATAGCCTTACATGCTTACATATTATAATGCCCTTTGGGTTTCTAATTGTATCTTTCAGAGGGTGGTTGGACTTTTGGTATTTCACTCTTGTACAAACAAGGCTAAACAAAGTTGTGTAACAGCTGACAAGTTTATGGAATACAGAACATTCAGTAGGGCAGGTGCTGCTTGGCTCCTCCCCTTATTTTTAAATCTTTTTTCCCCTGCCTTGATGGGTTTGAAACTTTGAAGCCCATCTGAATATTTTTCTTCTTCTTCTGGAAATTGTGGCTTTGCTAAGCTATCATTTTTTCTGGATATTTTCCTCATTGATAACTCCTCTTTCCCTTATTTTCTTCTGTCATTAGATCACTTAGTTCTCAGAAATTGGGTTGCTAATTTGTCTCATTGAGTTCATTCAGTTATTTCTTGAAATTTCACCTCTGTGCCAATGACTGTTACAATGTGTTTTCCATTTATGTGTCTTGTTGGAAGCCTCAAGCCAGTTTCCAAAGTGAACTAATTCTTATTCCAAAAATAGTCTGCCTGTCAACTTGGATACCACTGACTTTCTAAATATTTCATCCAAGACTTTTTTTTTTTGCTATCTTACTCTTTATCATCCTAAATCTTAGTAACTTCATTTTAATTTTCTTGTTTCTTTACTGTGTGTTCTACTTATTATTGTCTCTAAGTACGTTTCTTGAGTATGTAGACTTTCCTGGACTATTACATTTTGTAGCCCAGTAAATTTCAGAGAAAGTATGTACATCAGCATAAGGTCACTAGCCTCTTATTTGACCCTGAAGCAATTAGATAAATATTATGCCAATTTTGAAAGAAAATTTTTTGTATTGGAAGAGGACATGTTCAGAGAAAAGGACAGTGCTTCTCAAGGAAAGTTAACCTTATGCTCACATACTTAGATTTATCCTTTTTTTCTCTTTTTTACCTAACACCATCATAGAATAGATTGGTATTTGGGAACAGCTCACCTGTGTGTATATGTATCTTACATATATGTTATTTTTGATAATTCTGTATATACAATTAAGAAAGTAAAGATTTTAGTCATATGGACTTTTCTGATGACTGTGTTATCTGTGCTGTTTGGATGGCTGTGTTCAAAGTTGTGGTTCATCTATATATTAATCAGCATTAAAGTATAGAAAACTTAAATTATAAAAGAAGGGAAAATTTGAATTCTAGGATAAAGATTTGCTTAAAAATACAAACTTGAAGGTAGATGTGAAAAAATCACTACCAGATTTTTATGCAGCATATCGGGAAACAAGAAGGCCAAGTTTGAAATGTGCTTAATTTGTGCCTCATTCAAATCTAACGGCCTCTTATGTTTCTAAAGTGCTGTATTTTTTGTGTCACTGTTGTCAGTGGTACATTTGGAGCCAGACGTGTTCAGTTAAAACAATTTTTTGTTGAACTACTTGATATTTTGTGATTTCTCTTTTACACTTCTCACTGAAAAGATCATTTCCCCTCCAAAGGCCTAATGCTTTGGCTGCCGTGTTAACTGTGTTCTGAAAATAATGTTGACTGTTGAGTTACTTTGGTAAAGTTTGGGTTTTTTTCCTCTTTTGTTTTATAGGGTTGGTCTTGCTGTAAGAGAAGGACAACTGATTTTTCTGATTTCTTAAGCATTGTAGTAAGTACTATTTTTTCCTTTTTTTTTTTTAAGATTTATTTATTTATTGGAACGTCAGATATACAGAGAGGAGGAGAGACAGAGAGGCAGGACTTCCTTCTGATGATTCACTCTCCAAGTGGTCGCAATGGCCGGTGCTGGCCCGATCCGAAGCCAGGATCCAGGAACTTCTTCCGGGTCTCCCACGCGGGTGCAGGGTCCCAAAGCTTTGGGCCATCCTCGACTGCTTTCCCAGGCCACAAGCAGGGAGCTGGATGGGAAGTGGAGCTGCTGGGATTAGAACTAGCACCCATATGGGATCCCGGGCGTTCAAGGCGAGGACTTTAGCCGCTAGGCCATGCTGCCGGGCCCAAGTACTACGTTTTCTTGAGTATCTCTCTATAAATGCATTGTGCAGAAATCTTCAGATTAGGGACTTCTGATATCTGGTATCTATTGATTTTTCCTGTCAACTATCAGCAACTTACTTTTTAGAAGGAGTTCATTTCATCTGCCAAGCCTGTAAATATATTTTTAAAACAAGCATGCTTTTAGAGATAAAGGTTTTAGGATGTTAATGCCTCATTTGTTATTTTAGGTTTTTCCCCTGTAAGATTTATTTATTTTAAAGAGTTAAAAAGAGAAAAAGATGGTCGATCTATGGCTTACTCCCCAGATGGTCACACATGCAGAAGGGAGCCAAGCTGAAACCAGGAACTTCCTCCAGGTGTCCATCAGTATAACAGGCCGAAGTGCTTGGGCCGTCCTCCCCCGTTTCCCAAGCACATTAACCTGGAGCCGGGTCAGAAATGGAGTAGCCAGACTCAAACGAGCAGCCACATGGGATATTGGCATCTCAGATGGCAACTTTATATAAATTAGAGAACAGTATTCCATCTCACCAGATGGTCCCAACAGCCAGAGCTGAGCTGATCTTGAAGATGAGAACCAGGAGCTTTTTCCCTGCTTCCTGCATGAGGGTAGAGCCCAAAGGCCTTGAGTCATCTTCTGCTTTCCCAGGCCATAAGCAGAGAGCTAGATCTGAAGTGGAGCAGCCAGGATACAAATTGGTACCTATATGGAATGCTGGTGCTTATAGATGCAGGATTAGTATTCTACATCACCACACCAGCCCTGGGCTGGCAGCTTTACACTCTCTGCAAGGATACTGGTCTCCCCTCTCTTAGGTTTCTTCTGATATTTAATGCTTCAAAGAATATTAGGAAGGAATCAGGTTGACAACAGTGTTAAACTGAGCTTGAAAACAATTGTCTTGTTCAGGATCATATAGCAAGTCTTTTGCTTAGAAAACGTTCATATGTAAATAATTTATGGAATATTCTTTGTAAAGTTCTCCTGAATTCATTTTCTCTTAACAAGAAGTTTATGGTTAAGTTTATGGTTTTTTGAAAGTGTTTTCCTCAGAGGTAAGAGTTTGTTTGCAAATAAAAGCAATTTGGAGTTTTTACTTTCTTAAACTGATGTAATGAAAGAGTTTATATCATGACATCTAAAATAGATGACAGGATAACTCCTAATAAATGCCTTTGACTAACAGGGCTGTACTAAAGGTAGGCATAATAATGAGAAGCCACCTGAGCCAGTCAAGCCTGAAGTCAAGACTACAGAGAAGAAAGAACTGTCTGAATTGAAACCCAGATTTCAGGAGCACATCATTCAAGCCCCTAAACCAGTGGAAGCAATAAAAAGACCAAGGTATACTTTATTCAGCTTTGTTTTTCTGTCACACATAAATAGTATCAGTTTGAGTTTTTCTTTTTATGATTTTGCATGGTATTTCTGTTGAGGCTGCCAAGTTTTTGACTATTTGATTTGTATTTTAGCTAAACCTTCAGTTTTTGTTCCTGATAAACTTGAGGGCATGTGGACAGTAAGGCATTTTTGTTTTGTGCCATTATGGGTATAGACACACGAGCTGTAAGAGTATGGGAGCTCTTCATTGTTTTGTATGCTGGCATATCTTTTGCTTGTCTTTCTTCCTTTTAAGTATCCTGATGAGTAACTGAATGTTCTGGTTTCATTATGAAGACATTTTTTCGTTCAGGGATGTAAATACATTATAACCATTTTTCTAAGATACTCTTCATGGAAGTAACTTGATTCACAATGCATTTGACATCTTCTGAAAAGGCTTTATTTAAAATGATTAATTTCAAATACAAAGAAGTGTTTTGGTGCATTATGATAATGGAAATTTAAAACTTCTCCAGCCCAGATGAACCAATGACAAATTTGGAATTAAAAATATCTGCCTCCTTAAAACAAGCACTTGATAAGCTTAAATTATCATCAGGAAATGAGGAAGAGAAGAAAGGTAAGATTTTCTGGGTTTTTTTTCTTTTTTGTTTTTGCTTTTTGTTCATAGTAACTTTTTCCTGACTAACGAAATAGTCATTAAAAACAGCATGAATTTACTTATTTTAAATATGTAGCAGTAAGTTATGTACCTATGTAACATATTTTACAGTAGGAATTTATTTAATTTTTTTTTCAAAATGTCAGTTAATACCACAGAAGGAATATCAGTTTATTTCCTTATGTCTTTATTTAAAGTGATAACTTTTCATTGAAAATATTTTCTCCTGTGGCTTATTATTTGTGTTCACTTAAAGATGTATTTGAGAAGCAGAGTTATAGAGAGAGGAAAGACAGGGATCTTCAGTGTACGAGTTCACTCCTCTAATGTCCACAGTGCTGCAGCTGGGCTAGGCTGAAGCCAGAAGTTCCATCTAAGTCCTCTATGTGGGTACAGGATCACAACCACTCTGGCCATCTTTCAGTGCTTTCCTAGGTGCATTAGGTGGGCGCTGGGATCAGAAGTGGAGCAGCCTCAACGTGAACTGGTGCTCTTATGGGGTTCTGGCTTCACAAGCAGTCACTTAACATGCTGCCCTACAACAATGCCATGGGGTTTATTATTTTTAAACAGTGAGGTAAATTGCTTTGATCATTGAGCGTCTTCAGTCTTTGACGTACACTTGATACCATGGTGGTAAAAGTACCTCTTCATGGGGCTGGTATTATTGTATTTTGGGTCAGGTTACCAGCTACCTTTCCAGCATTTCATGCTTGAGTGCTGGTTTGCATCTGAGCCACTCGATTTCTATTCTACCTTTCTGCTAATGTACCTAGGAAAGGAACCCTGCTACCCCTATGGGATTCCAGGATGGAACACCTGGCTCCTAGAATCAGCTGGCCCAGCTGTCACTGATGCTGCCAGGCGGAGAGTGAAGCAGAAGGCACAAGATTCTTTTAAAAGAAAGTACTTCTTATGAGTCACCTTTACAAGGTTAATATAGTAGATAAACCATAGAGTTATAAAATAGAAATGCATCATATTACTTAAAGAATACATGCAAAACCTAATGATAATACCTTTTTTTATAATAATATTTTTATGGAAACATTAAAAATGATGTAGAAGTGAAGCTACGTTTTAAGGTTTAAAATTAAGTTTTTCTTTGTTTCAGAAGAAGACGGCGATGAAATTAAGATAGGAACCTCATGTAAAAATGGAGGCTGTTCAAAGGTATATGTTATAAAACTTGTATTACAAGTAAAATTTTATATTTTAAGAAAGCAAGTACAATTCAGTGATTTTTTTCTTTAACAGCAAACATTTGAATATTTTTCTGTTGGACAGTATGCTGTGGATTATGACCACAAATTGAGGAGTGTCAAATCTAATAGAAATATGGGAATAAATATTTGGTCATTGAATGAGCATTTGTAATGTGCTCCACATTGGTGGGGCAATTAAGTATCATGAATTCAGATATGAAGAGGATAAGACAGTAATGAACTGAAGGGGTTTGGGTTAGTAGCTATTTATGTATGATCTTCAATGATGTTCTTTTTGAGTGGGTGACTGAATCTAAAATCTGAATAGTACAGTAGACAAGTTACATAAGTCTAGGAGAAAAATACCCTGGGTTATGTAAGCCTAAAGTAAAAAATGCTATAGAAGGAGCAGCATGATTGAGGGAGCTTGGATTTTAAAAAAAATAATCAGAGCAATATATGCTGGAGACCAGTCAAAGTAGCCAGTAAAAGAGATAGGCAAGATTGTGAGGTCTGCTTCATCCATGCTGAGGGATTAGTTTTTTTTCTTGATATGATAAAAAGTCATTACCTACTCTGGGGGGAATTTTGTAAAGATTTTTTGATGGGCATTGTGTTTCAACAGATGAAGCCTCCATTTAAGATGTCTACTGCCCATAACAGTGCTTGAGGAATAGAGTTTTGTCTGTGTCTGCTTCCAACCTCAAGTTCTGCTAAAGTGCCTGGCTGGCGGCTGGTGATAGCTCAGACTACTGAGTCTGCCATACTCATGGGAGACCCAGGTAGAGTCCCTGTTCTTGGCATTAGCCTGGATCCTCTGTGGCTGTTGACGTTCGTTGGAGGAGTGGACCAGTGAATGGAAGATTTTATTCTCCCTCATTTGCTCCCTCTTTCTGTCATTCTGCCTTTCAAATAATTGAAAATGAAAAAAAATTTTGAGAAAAAAAATTTGGCTCTTAGCTGGCAAATATACGTTTGTAAATGTATTATGAATAGAATACTAGTAGAATTGAGCAGAAACAGATTTCTTTTATTTTAGAAGACCATCCAGCGAGATTAGATAGAAATTTGCTAAGAAGTAGTTAAATATGGGATTTAATGACATGTGTTATTGAGGCCTTTTCTTACTTTTGTGAATATAAAATTCCATCTCTTATTACATTTCTTCTCAGTTTCTTTTCTTCATAGTACTTATCATCCTCTAGGATTGAGAATGTGTGCATTTCATATATATAAAGTTTACTTATATGAAAGAATGAAGAGAGATCTTCCATTCACTGGTTCACTTGCCAATATGCCCTCAACAGCCTGGCTGGACCAAAGCCCCAAGAGTCAGGAACTCTGTCCAGGTCGCTCGTGTAGATGACAGGAACTCTCGTAGCTGGGCTGTAGTCTACTGTGTCCTAGGTGCAATAGCAGTAAGACGGCTTGTTAGTGGAGTATCCAGGACTTGAATTGCCACTGTGACATTGGCTGTGGGTGTCTCAAGGGATTATTAGGACACAATATCCACCCCTACTGACTTATGTTTATTTTGCTTAAGATATGTCCCATTTAACTTTCGCTGAGTTTATGAGGATACAATTCTGTTCATTTTATTCTGTATTAAATCTTGAATCCTTGGAACAGTGCCCAGCACATGGCAAATACACATAGAATATATGATACAGTTTGAAAGTATTTGACAGAAATTGGTATTAGGTTGAATATGAAGGGAACTTAGGGTTGAAGCATCTAAGGAATTTGTGCCACCAGTAATTGAGAAAGTGAAAATCAGAACAAGTTTGTGTTTTTCCATCTTAAATATTGGATCATCTTGGTCATTAAAGAGCTGATTATATAAAAATAGAGAGGCAGAAGTAGTTAAGTAAAAGCATGATTAATTCTTGAAGTACGGAAAACTGTGCAAATGGTGAAATAGTGCCAGAGAGCAAAGAAAAATCTGATGAGCTTCATTCTGAATATGAGCAAAAGGGTAAAGGATATGTTTAGTAATGGTTATAGTACTAGTCAACAAAATAGTTAACAGGAATGGTACAAAATGTGCTGGTGTGGAATTGGGATTAAACAGTACAAGAAGGGCAGGAGTTTGGTCTATTAAGGTACTAGCATCCCATTTTATAGTGCCTAGATTCAGTATTTAAGGATTCCTGACTCCAGTTTCCTCTTAATGTGAACTTTGAGGCAGGAGTGAGGGCTTGAATAATTTGGGCTATGGCCAAATTGTGTAAATTGAGTTCTGGGATTTTGTGTCTGCCTAGCCTTGGCCATCATGGACACCTGGAGAAGGAACCTGTAGGTGTGGTTTCGTAATGGGTCAGTCTGTCTCAGTTTGTAAAAGATTCTGAAAGGCTTCATAGTGCTTGGAAATTAGACCTCAGTATTACTATGATGGCAATTTAAAGGTTTTTACTTTTTTCATTAAAGTACAGTATTAAAATATGTAGAAACAGGGATTTTCACAAAGAAAACGTATCCGCATTATTGTATACTGTGTCTCTGAAGGTAACCATAGATTTAAAGATGAAATATGCATGTTTTGTAATTTAATGTGAAAGGAATTTTAGGACATGTGTTCCGTGCGTTTGCTTGTTTTACCTTTCCTATAAGCAGTCTTGGTTTTGTTGTTTTTCGTAGTAGTTACATAATGGCATTGTTTAAATCTAATAGTTTATCTTTATATTCTGTTACATTTATAAATACGAATTTTTTAATAATAGTACTGTAACCCGTGTTGCACTTGACTTTTGGACTCATACACATTTCCATTATTTTATATATGACTAGTAGTGAAGTTGCCTGATCATAGAGTATGTATAGAGCTCCTTCAGAAAGCCTGTGAGTGTAGTTTACAATATGAAAACTATGTTTTTTATTGCACTGAAATATTTATTTTTTCTGTTTTTCATGAACTATTTGAAGTAACATATATATTCACCTTTCACAGATATTCTGACATTTTTCCAAAATGATTGTGACTTGATGAATTGCTGTACATAATACTTGTTAGAGTTAACCTGCACTTAGATAACACTTTGCAGTGTCACTCTTTTATATTTTAGCCATTCTAGTTGAGTGAAAAGTGGTCTTGTTAACAATCTTAATTTACACTTTTCTGATGTTGAAGTAACCCTTTTGTAGGTTTATTAACAGTTACATATCTTCTTCTGTGAAAGGTTCAAAATGTTTATCTCTGATTTTTCATTTTATTACCAATTTTTAGGAAGCTTCTGTATAGATCGACAGATCCATTGTCTAGACATGCTTTTTCGTTGTCTCCACGAATGGCTTTGATAAATAGTCGCTTTAATTTGAGAGATCCAGTTTGTGCATCTTTCCCTTTGTGACCAGTACTTTTTCTGTCCTGTTTGAGAAATGTTTCTTACTCCAAGGCCATGAATGTTTTCTTACAGAGAGACACATTTATGTTGTATGCCACCTAGAAATTATTATATAAATGTAATTAAAGGATTATAAGAAAGATAATGATAGAAATTAGATAATAGAAGAGAGAAGTTAAAGACTGAGAAATGTAGTAGAAAACTTAATACAGTCTGATTGCCTAAAATGTGCTAGTTCATGAGGAAAGTTAACAAATTAAATTGATAGATAATTTCAAATCAACTTGACTCAATTCTATGGTAGACTACATCTAGCATAGGGAGAAGAAAAACTGAATTGAAAAGAACTAAGAAAATTTTGCTTTGGGAGATGGGAAGATTAGGTTCAGAGGGAAATGGCATCGAATTTTAATAGATTTAAGAGGTATGTGCTTATGTAATATCTTAAAATATATGTACCTTTTTATTTTAACTTCTAAAAAGTAAATGCTTTGTTGCAGGCATTGTGTTACATTGAATTGGTACAGCCGCGTTCCATATTGCAATGCTAGTTCCAGTCCTTGGCTACTCCACTTGCAAGCCAGCTTCTTACTAATGCGTTTAGGAAGTATCAGATGTAGCTGTAGCAGTTGAGTTTTGGCCACCTATGAGAGAAATGGAGTTCTTGCGTCTTGATCATGCTTGATCCTGCTTCCACAGTTGTGGCTCTTTGGAGGAATGAACTAACAAATGGAATATCTGTCTCTCGTAAATAAATAAATACACATAATTTTGTATTCCTTACTTCAAGTTGCACAAAGAGAAAATTTATTACAGGTTTTGTTCATGTTTCATTTAACTTTTTAGAAGTTCGTACACAGAATTTTCACTTTAAAATAGCAGTGTGATCTTGATCTTATAAACCTTGTAAAATCAACTGTATATATAGCCAAATAAAATCAAGTTATTATATATATATATAAATCAACTGAAAGATCTTCAGCTGAAGTTTTTTATTCATAAGGATAAGAACTCACTGTAGAATTTTCAGAGTTGCTTAATAAATTTCCCTATTAAGTGACAGATGAGAGCCACACGCCTGAATGCTTGGAAGCAACTTTGTTCCCAAAATGCTGAAAGTATCATGATACTTTCTATTGCCTACTCTTCTATTTGCTTTTCACATAGGGACCTGGAAGTTAACCAGATTCCAAAGGAAATAATTTGTCATTGCTTTCTGAAGTGGCCAGGAATGAATTTATGAGTGTTCTAGGTAGTTGTTGCTGAGTGTTGTACACTGTTCAGAGTTGGTAGTGACAGAGATACTTGTATGTAAGATGTAATTGAGGGATACGCAGGTGATGTTTTTCCCCTCCTTTTTTTTTTCTTTTAGACATACCAGGGTCAACAGAGTCTGGAAGAAGTCTGTGTATATCATTCTGGAGTACCTATTTTTCATGAAGGGTAACTTTTGCATGACTAATAAAAATGCTTTCTGGAAGGGTTTTAAAAAAGTAAACCCTCATAGTATATGGTGGTTTATCGACACACAATACTGCTGTAAATTCTTCCACTCTGTTTCCATATTGTTCAGAACTCAAACCTGGAGTTATACATTCACCTTTAGCTTCCTGTGAGTTTTTCTTCTTTTTTCTCCCCAAGGAAGAGTTGGCTTTACTTGTTTGGAGATACTACGGGTTATGTGACATTAATCTTTCACTTTTTTGGTGTTCTCATTTACTGGGCTTTTAAAAGATGAGAATTAAAATTCTCCAGTCATACCACTTGATGATTACCTCACAAAGAAGCAAATGTTTGCTATCAGCAAATACTGATTTTTGAATTTTGTTTTGTTTTAAATATCTTGAGACTAGTATAATAAATATCATTCTCATCTTCACATTATTAATCTTCCTGGTAAATGTCAATTTTTAACTGTAGTGACTTAGTTAAAATTTTGATATTCTTGCTTTCAAAAGAAAATCACTTATCACTGTAATTCTCTATTTAATTGATGGTGAAGTTTTATCTATGAATTCTATCTATAATTTCAAGGATGAAATACTGGAGCTGCTGTAGAAGAAAAACCTCTGACTTTAATACATTCTTAGCCCAAGAGGGCTGCACAACAGGAAAACACATATGGACTAAAAAGGATGATGTGAGTAAGCTTTTCAGAATGATATATCATTGTGTTCCTCTAAGTCGTTCTTAAAAGGCTTGAGATTATTCTCTTATTGCCTTAAAAATTGTTCTCCCTGAAAAGAAAAGCTATGACATGGCTATGAAGTAAAATTAACCTAAATAAAGCACTCAGAGCTCTACCTTTTGAGCAAAATAGCCATCTATGTTAAGTTCAGCTGTGTAGAATTTTGTGAAGTATTGAAACCTGCCAAAACTGAAGCATCTTTGTCTCACTAACATTACCTACACAAGCTTTTAGCCTTCTTTTTTTTTTTTAAATTTGTTTTTATTGAAAGGCAGATTTATAAAGAGAAAGCTCTTCCACACACTGGTTGATTCCCCAGATGGGCCCAACGGCCAGAGCTAAGTTTATCTGAAACCAAGAGCCAGCAGTTTCTTCTGGCTCTCCTGTGCAGTTTCTGGGTCATAAAACCTTAGGCCATCCTCTACCACTTTACCAAGTCAAACCAGGGAGGTAGGTGGGAAGTTGAGCAGCCAGGACATGAACCGGCGCCCACAGGTGATGTTGGTGCTTCATGGTGGAGAGGCTAATTGAGCCACTGTGCTGGACAACCCATACTTTCTGTTTTTAAACATTACTTTTTTTATTTATGTATTTTCATGTGTATTATGCATGTTGTATTTCATGTATGTTAAATTTGAGGCCTTCTCATTTCCTTTCTTATGTACTTGAAACTTACTCATTGTTTACCAGCTATGCAAAGCTTCCATCCAGTGGCCAAGAAAGGAATTGCTGACTTGCTCAGGTGGAATTATTTTGAATACCTCTACTGTCTCCAGAGAAATCCATCAAGAGAAAAGAAGCATGAATTTTCTAAAATAAACTTGAGTGTGCAAATAATTCCTCAAAAAGTCATTAAACTGTAGAAAGCCAAGATTTATTGTTAGGAAGTTTTTGATTATTAGATACTAATTTAAAATATGTTAGTCTTTTGTGCTATACTGACACTAGTGAGTTCTGTAGTGTGTGTTTGTGTGTATATTTATGTATAAATATATGCCTTATAATTAAAAATTTTCAAATTTAGAAATTTACTCAACATTTGAATGTTCTGCAGTTGTTGCTTTTTAATAACGTGATTGGGTTTCATAAATATACCCATCTAAGTTACAATAACTCATAAACCATAAAACTTCTTTTAAAAAATTATTAGTATAAAGGTATTTTCTCTGAGATTTAAAAGTTGGAAAAAGTGAAATTTTGTATAATATTAAGTCCAGAATATAAATGTTAATGGATGTTGTAGTAATGTATGTAATGACAAATCTGAAGTATCTAAGCTGATAAAGCAAAAATACAATATATGATTTCAGTTCAGTGTCATTTTTCCAAAATATAAACATTACTTTTTAAAATAGTAGAATCTCAGTTTCCTGACTTTTGTGACCAGATTGTTCTTTTTTATCAAGCACATCTGAGACTTAACTGATTAGTTATGTAATAGCAAAAAAAGATTGCTTCAAAAAAGCTCACTTTTTTCTACATTTTAACAGAGGAGGAAAATAAGTCTTTAAATAACAGTAGTAGAAAGAAACAAATGATCAGACTTTTAAAAATAGAATAATGTTCTCAAATCATAAAACTAAGATTTTTTGTATCATGATATGCGTATTTTGTGTATGAACTTTAGCTCTTTGTCCTATATGACTTAAATATTTAGGTTGTGCATGGTGATATTTTTTCGCAGTTATGTGAACCAACTTCTTAAAAGAAGTGAATTATTTGGTACTTGTAGGCTAAAAAGTTTTTCTTAAATTACAGGGTAAAAAAGTTGTTCCATGTAGACACGACTGGCATCAGACGGGAGGTGAAGTTACCATTTCAATATATGCTAAAAATTCACTTCCAGAACTTAGTCGAGTAGAAGCAAATAGTACATTAGTAAGTATACGGAATTTAAGTAAAAAGTGTTTTATCACATTGTTCTTTCTGTTAATATTGTGTTTTTCAAGATTTAAGAACGATTTTCCTATACAAATTTAATTGGTTTCATTAAAAATGTTTTAAATGAAAATGTCAGCATGATACTTTTTCCTGAGGCATTCTATAAATAGTAATATAGTTTAGGAAAATCGCCAAGTCATGTGCTTAGTTCTCAAAAAATGAAATTTCAAAGTAATTTTTTTAATTTTTTTCTTTCGTTAATAATTTTCTCCAATAGAAATGTTTAATATTGGCAGTTTCTTAAAATGGTTTGATTTGTTTGAATGTCTTATAATAAGTGCTCTATATAAGCCTTCAGTATGAATTTGGTGAGTTAATCTATTTTCATTATGTGCTTTTTTTCTAGTTAAGTGTGCACATTGTATTTGAAAGAGAGAAGGAATTTCATCAAAATGTGAAATTGTGGGGTGTAAGTATTGTGAATTCACCAAATTTTTATGAAAAAAATGACTATCCAAACGGTTTTAGTAGGCTTTAGTGAAAGGAACATATAAGTTGGCATTATATTTTAGCAAAAATTGTAAATATGATGTGAAAAAGGCAGTAGTGATTTGGATTTGGAAATATTAGCATAGCAAGGATAGTGCTTTCTTCTGAGACTAATTAAATGAAGTTTCTCTTTGGTATATCACAGGTAATTGATGTAAAGCGAAGTTATGTAACTATGACTGCAACAAAGATTGAGATCATCATGAGAAAAGCTGAACCTATGCAGTGGGCAAGCCTTGAACTACCTGTGACCAAAAGTCCTGAAAAGCAGAAAGATGCTACAGATTGAGTGGGGAGTTGGGGGAAGTTTATTAATGTGGTGAAGTGATGGCTTGCTGCTGTAATGTTGTTGTTGTTATTGTTGAATCTTGGCATTTCAGGGTCAACATTAGGTTTTTAAAAGCCAAAGTCAGTTTATTATATTTTTATGCCTCCCATCTTCCTTTTCAGTTGTTTAAGACTGATTACTCATTTCTCTTATGGATAGTGATAGAACTGTAGCTATGTCCTATACTTGAAGCTAAAGTATAGATCATAAGCATATTTGCATTGTTTTTTAGTATAATGTTCTAATAATTTGAAAAAGATTAATGAACTTTTTTTCGTCTAGTATCCCATAATTAGCAAAACAAAACAATATCAAAATTTTAATGAGTTTTCACAGATTTGTGTGCTTATAATACTTGAATATCCTTTCAGAAGGGAGAAATCTGAGATTGTTTTTGCATGTGAGAGTTACTTTTTTGTAAGAAGACTAATCCTAAGATAGTGAAGTAAAGGGAAATGTAAGTATTGATTAATAAATTGGAACTTGTTTACAGTTAATGGAACTGAAAAATTAGAATCTATACTTGTCAAGCAATATGATGTAAGACTAAATATAATTAAGAGTATAGAGCTATCAATTTGGTTTAAATTCTATATTTTATGGCTAAATAATGTGAAAAATGTTTTTCCTGATTATTCATTGGCTTGGATAGTGTTATCACTAAATTGTACCTGTTTTATAGCTGTACCCACTTACAACCTTTAGTTATGTGTAAGAAGGAGTTATACATCTGGTCTACCTGATCCAACACTGTGTCTGTAAAGTTTTAACATTAGGGCGTCAGAAAACTCAGTATACGAGCATTGCTTCCTGAGAACTATCACATATTAAATAAATAAAGTAGCTCAATTCCTTTGGAGTTTTTATTTTGAGGCTTTCATGAAGAGCTTGAAAATAATAGTGATACAATGTTGATCATATGATCTTTATTTGCATTAAATATAGACAGCACAGAATTAGATCAGTTATACTAACTGGCTTTACTGAAGGACAGGCTACTTTGTCAGTGTAGAGCTCCAGAAGAAAATGTAGTGAAAGCTGAAACTGGTAGAATTTTAAGACATTTGAGTATTACTTAGGCTCACATATATTAGGAATAAAAGGTGTTTATTTCCCAAGCCCCTTGAGTGTTTTCCTACAAAAATGCTTCTTTAGCTAATAAACATAGTAGTGGTATTATTGTGGTACATTTAGCAAATAACTATTAGATTGCATATAATTGATGAAAGATTTACTCTCTGTCACAAGGAATTCATATAGCGTATAAGCTTTGATAACATAAAATTGACATGCCAAAATTTGGGGCTGGTAAAAATTAGACTAAATACATTGTCTACTACTAAAATATGTATTTAATTTTTAATTTCATTCATAAAAATTAAATTGGAGACTAGATTTATGTAGACATCTTATTGTTTGGGATGGGGGGGCATGACGATTTGATTTGAGGTTAACGGTTAATATACCTTCATCAGGACTTCCCTCTTGAGACTGTTTTCCCTCAATAGTATCTTATTTGTTATATGTGGTTGAATGGTTGTTTAAAGCAAATGAATTATGTTGCAAGGCATAAACTTTTTTTGGATATATTTACATATCTGGTTCATTAGTGATTTTTCATTTTTATTCAGTTTTGTTTGGTTTTGCTGCTGCTTCTAAAAATCTCTAAGTTTGTTGCCGAGATAAAAATGAATCTAGATTCATAGATAAATGGATAGAATGATAGTTAGAGTATTGTTTAGCAATTTGTCTTTAAAAATGGTTAGTAAAAAAATGCTTGTTAACTGAGTTTTTTCTCTAGAAACGTGCTTCGTCTTAGCATTTAAACGAATTGCTACAGCAGAGCATTCAAAGCTTGATATGTATTATTGTAACTAGTCCCAGCATGAGAAACCTGAAAACCTATTTTTATTGACTAGCACAGAGGAAATTAGGTTTAAGAAATTTTTTTGTAGTTTCAGATTTATGGACAACTTGTAAAAACAATTAGTGTGTAATTTTTTAGATTAATATTGCTTATGTGTTAAATCATAAGTGTAAGGAATTTATACTGCATAACTGTTAACTAGAAGAGATTTAAAATTTTTATCATTGTTCCTTGTAGAAACCTTTAACATGCCCTAATTTAATTTGTTATTTTATTTAAATTAATTTGTAAACCATTGGAATATAAATTGGAATCAATAGGCGTCTTCAGGATGATGACACCGCTTCTTGGTGTAGTTATATATTGGCAAAAACTATAACCATATTAGTTCTTATATTTGATTTCTTTAGTCAGCTGTTTAACCATGAAGAGAACATTGAAGAGTTCTTGCAAATATTTTAAGGGAGCTTTGAGTTATTACTTCGTTTCCATCTGCTTTTTGAAAAAGATATTCCTCTATCTGAAAATTTATGTATAATGCATGAATCTACAATAAGTAAACATTTGAAAGTGCATTCATGAAATCTGGTGTCTATGTTAAGGCTCTTGGGGTATGTATTCTGGAAGGCAGCTATGCTCACCACTGTACCACCAAAGCAACTGTATTATGAAACTTTATTTTCAACAGCCAGGTACACTTTAATAAGTTACTGTCTAACGTGAATTATTTTGATCTGATACACCATATCTTATGTTTCTTTGTGCTCTTTTGAAAATATCTTGATTCCCAGTGCCTTAGTACCAAAATACAAGCAGTTGAGAACAGCTCATTTTTAGATGTTATTATAAATTGTCCTTCCTTCTTTCCAAGATTTCATTGCTTTCTGTTTCATTTTTTCGTTCTGAAAGGTAGAGTTAACAGAGAGAGAGACATCTTCCATCTATTGGTTCACTCCCCAGATGACCACAATGGCTCCAGCTGAGGCAATCGAAGCCAGGCTCTAAGAGTTTCCTCTGGGTCTCCCACATGAGTTCTTGGGCCCCATTGTGCCATCAGACTCTATTTTCCAAACCATAATCTGGGGACAGATTGGAAGTGGAGCAGCCAAGATTCAAACTGGATGCTGTTTCCGGAATCGGAAACCTATAAAACCATGGTGCCCCCCTCTCCTGTTTTTGTTAGTTTCATTTATTTTAATTGACAAGAGGGAAGTTGTGATTTTTTTTTCTGACTGCTTATCTGTTGCCCCATTGTCTTGTAACTTGTTCATTTGGTGTGACATAACCTGTTCAGTATTTTATAAATGCATATATACCTGTCTGCTTCTGGCATTATTCAGCTTCTGAAGGTTTTCTATACACTTAGTACATGATTTTGAACTTTTACAGACTTTTAAATGTAAAGTTTTTTCAAATTAGTGTTTTCATTAAAATATTTTATTTTTAGCTTTCCTGTTTAATAGACTAACTACTTCATGTCCATTAAAATGAAAGAAAGCTGGCAGCGTAGAACTTCTATGTTGCTTAAAGATTGTGTTTTAAGGCAGGTGTTTGGTACAGTGGGTCAAGGTGCTTTTTGGGAAATCCACTGTCAAAAGAGTACTTGGTTTGGGTCCCAGTCCTTCAGCTTCTGAACCAGCTTCCCACTGATGGCATCCTTTAGTCTTTGGAGTCCTCCAATACATGGTGAACACCCAGCTGGATTTGCAGGCTTCTGACTTTATGTTGGCCCAGATGTAGCTTCAGGGACATTCAAACAGTAAGTCAGTGTATGAATAAAGCAAACAATCAGTTAAAAAGGATTATTTGTCAAAATCGTTTAATTTGGCATTCCTTTTTTACTAACTGCTGTTCAAATTATTTTTGTGTCTTTAGACATTTGTGTTTATTTTCATTTTATTTGAAAGGCAGGGGTCTCATCTGCTGGTACTTTCCAAAATGCCAGCTAAATGGGCCACGGTGCCTTATCAAGCTAAACCTCTACCTGTTTTGCTACTGGGATTATCTGTATATGCAAATTTGAATCCCAGGATCTCCATTTTTTTTTTTTTTAAGATTTATTTATTTTTATTGGAAAGGTAAATATACCGAGAGGAGGTGAGACAGAGAAGATCTTCCATATGATGGTTCACTCCCAAAGTGGCTGCAACGGCCAGAGCTGAGCCAGTCCGAAGTCAGGAGCTCTTCCGGGTCTCCCACATGGATGCAGGGTCCCAAAGCTTTGGGCCGTCCTTGACTTCTTTCCCAGGCCACAAGCAGAGAGCTGGATTAGAACCAACGCCCATATGGGATCCCAGCACGTGCAAGGCAAGGACTTTAACCATACACTATTGCGCTGATCCCAGGATCTCCACTTCGAATGGATCTCCCTGTTGATGTGCTTGGGAAAGCAGCAGTGAGGTCCCAGTCCTTAGGCCTCTGTTCCTACCTTCAGACCCGCCCAGCTCCAGGTGTTGCAGCCATTGGGGAGTAAACCAACAAGTGAAGGATAAGTTTCTATCCTTCTCTGTCTGCAACTCTGTCTTTCAAATAAAATCTTAACAAAAGGAAGGTGGGTCCTGTGTGATAGCCTAGTGGTTAAAGTCCTCCCCTTGAATGTGCTGGGATCCCACATAGGAACCAGTTCTAATCCTGGCAGCTCCACTTCCCATCCAGCTCCCTGCTTGTGGCCTGGGAAGGCAGTTGAGGATGGCCCAAAGCCTTGGGACCCTGTACCCGTGTGGGAGACCTGGAAGAGGCTCCTGGCTGTTGCAACCACTTGCAGAGTGAACCATTGGATGGAAGATCTTCCTCTCTGTCTCCTCCTTTCTGTATATCTGCCTTTCCCGTAAAAATAATCCTTTTTTAAAAAGGGAAGGAGAGAGGATATGAAAAGGGAGAAAGAAAAGATGCCTCAGGTCTAAGCTGAATGCAGGGACCTGGAGCTCTAACCAGGAGTGGCCATTCTGACTTGGGATGTGGGTATCCCAACTAGCATGTTAAGGACTCTAAATTGCTCACCCCCACACATTAACTATTTTCAAAGTGCTTTGTTAATTCATGCTAGTCATCTTGAGAAAGGGAAACCTTGAATTTGAGGTGCTTCTCCATCAGAGATTGAATAAGTCCATTAATATCATAAAATACTGTGATCCTTTATTAAGTTCACTTCAGTTTTCAGTTGGATATTCATGTTTTGTCTGGTTAACTTTTTAATGTTTGTGTCTTTTAGTACGTTGGGAGTTGTGATTTGGCCAACCATGGAATTTGTGTTTCTGTTAGATAAAACCTATACCAAAGCAGCATCAAACTTCTTTGTCTTGCACATTGCTGTGGGAACTGATCAAAACAACTACCTAAGTTGGAGCAAATGAATTTAAAAAATAGATAAAATTGGGCCTGGTACGGTAGTAGCCTAGTGGCTAAAGTCCTCATCTTGCATGCGCCGGTATCCCATATGGGCACCAGTTCTAATCCTGGCAGCTCTGTTTTCCATCTAGTTCCTAGACTCTGGCCTGGGAAAGCAGTCAAGGATGACCAAAAGCGTTGGTACCCTGCATCCGTGTGGGAGACCCCAAGGAACTCCTGACCCCTGGCAATGAACCATCTCATCTCCTGCCATTATGGCCACTTTGAAGTGAATCGACTTGTGGAAGGTCTTCTCTCTCTTCCTCTCTATATATGGCTTTTGAATAAAAATAATTTATTTTATTTTTTTTAAAGATTTATTTTTATTATTTTTTCATTGGAAAGGCGGATATACAGAGAGGAGAGACAGAGAGGAAGATCTTCCGTCCGATGATTCACTCCCCAAGTGAGCGCAACGGGCCGATACTATGCCATTCCGAAGCCAGGAGCCTTTTCCGGGTCTCCCACACGGGTGCAGGGTCCCAAAGCTTTGGGCCGTCCTTGACTGCTTTCCCGGGCCACAGGCAGGGAACTGGAAGGGAAGCGGGGCTGCCGGGATTAGAACCGGCGCCCATATGGGATCCCGGGCGTGCAAGGCGAGGACCTTTAACCACTTGCGCCACCGCGCCGGGCCCAATAATTTTTTTAAGTAAATAAAATTGTGAAAAGGTATTGGATAGCAAAGGATAGTCTGAACCAGACCAGAATGCATCAGAATGCCATTTCTAGACCAATAATATCTACAACATTTGGGAGACAATTAGAAGTGAGGGCTCTTGGTTCCCAGTCCTAGTCCTATTAATGATGGAAATGCGCCCCATGAATCTGCAGAATAGTTGCCAGGTTCTGATGCAGCGTAAGATAGTTGACACTCAAGGTGGTAGTTTAGAAGAAAAGTTCTATCATAATTACTTTTATTGGAAAAGCAGATTTACACACAGAATCTGAAAGATCCCCCATCCACTCACTGTTTCACTTAAGTGACCACAATGCCTGGAGCTGAGCCAATCAGGAGCCTGGAACTTCTGGGTCTTCTACTTGAGTTCTTAGTACCAAGGCTTTGGACTAAGAACTCAACTGCTTCTCTAGGCCACAAGCAGGGAGCTGGATGGAAAGTGGAACAGCCAGGATGTGAACTGCATATTAGATCCCAGGGCATGCAAGGTGAAGATCTAGCCAGTAGGCCATCACACTGGACCCCAGTGTAATCTCTTATAACAGTTTGCTTTAGAACAGCTTGGGCTTTGTGGAAAAATCGTAGCACTAGTACATGGAGTTTATATAGACCACACTGAAGAACATAGTAGCTTCCACTATTTAGTAGGTACACTTAAATAGAATTAATGAACTTGGCCTGGCGTGATAGCGTAATGGTTAAAGTCTTTGCCTTGCAAGGACTGGGATCCCAAATGGGTGCCGGTTCTAATCCCAGCAGTTCCACTTCCCATCCAACTCCCTGCTTGTGGCCTGGGAAGGCAGTTGAGGATGGCCCAAAGCCTAGGGACCCTGCACCCGTGTGGGAGACCCGGAGGAGCCCCTGGCTGCTGGCTTCGGATTGGCTCGGCTCCAGTCATTGTGGTCACTTGGGAAGTGAACCATCAGATGGAAGATCTAACTCACTGTCTCTCCTCCTCTCTGTATATTGGCCTTTCCAATTAAAAAAAAATTTTTTTTAACTGAACCAATGGTGGTTGGTTTTTACCACACCAAGTCTGTTTAAGTCTGATTTTCATTGTTCTTACCAAGAACCTATTTGGTGTTCCACAAGTCCACCTGGAAGTTCTCATTGCAGTAAGTTATTTTGTTTCTGGGCTCCTATTGGTATTGGAAACCGCTCAAGCCAATCATTAAATGTAAGCAGGGAAAGAAAAATCACAGAGCTGCGCTGCAATTCTGTTGTATCAAGCACAGCTTATTAATGTGAGTTAACATTTAGACTAGCTGCCTAAATAGTATTGGCCATTTTTTATTGCAAAATTACTCGGCAAAACTCCTTTCCATTGCCTGCAAGAAATTGGTATGTGCAGCTTCTATTTGCAATGTGGGTTTGGAAATGAGGCAACAGTATTACATGTCCACATACATAATTCCAGCCATCTCCACTTACCTCTAGGCTAAGCTATTGTGAAAAATCTTGCTCCCACTGTCTACTGTCCATTTGCTTACTTAGCCAGTTCCAGGATACATGTTTCACTGATGTCAGACATGCTAACCCATTTTCCCATTTTTCTTAAGTTCACAGGACAGCCCAATGTGGTAACCTAGTGTCCTAGTCCTTGCCTTGAATGCCCCAGGATGGCATATGGGTGTGGCCCTGCTTCCCAACCAGCTCCCTGTTTGTGGCCTGGGAAAGCATTCAAGGACAGCCCAAAGCTTTGGGATCCTGCACCCGTGTGGGAGACCCAGAAGAAGCTCATGGCTCCTGTCTTTGGATCAGCTCAGCTCCAGCTGTTGCAGCCACTTTGGGCGTGAATCAGTGGACGAAAAATAATCTGTCAATCTTCCTCTCTGTATGTCTGACATTACAATAAAAAATAAATCTTTAAAAAAATGATGGGAAAATGAATTAGAAGTTTAATTTTGGTGCAGAAATGTTTAGAATCCATGCAGCTTTTTCATGCATTTTCCACAAACTTCTGAAGACCCCCTTATATACATAGTTTTTTAAGTTTTAGTCTTAAAAATCATTTCTGGAATCATAGACTCAAAATTACCTAAGCACTTCCCTCTCAGCCCCCCTTTGCACTCCCAAAAACATTTTTTTTCAAAATTTTATAATAGAGCCTGACATTTTATTTTTGGTCAGTTTCAAGGAAAAAAGCAGTTGGAGGTTTATAAGGAGACTGGTTAGGATGAAATATACTGATGCTGTAGCCTAGCAGCTAAAGTCCTCACCTTGCACACACCGAAATCGCACATGGGCACCAGTTTCAATCCCAGCAGCCCCACTTCCCATCTAGCTCTATACTTGAGGCCTGGGAAAGAAGTCGAGAATGGCCCAAAGCCTTTGGACCCTGCACCCTCATAGGAGACCCAGAGTGGGCTCTGGGCTCCTAGCTTTAGATTGGCACAGCTCTGGCCGCTGCAGCCACTTAGGAAGTGAATGAGCAGATGGAAGATCTTCCTCTGTGTCTCCTCTCTGTGTATCTGACTTTCCAATAAAAATAAATCTTAAAAAAATGAATAGATAAAATAGGTAAACTAAGATACTAGATCTTTAATGGAAACCACAAAATGAGAACTTTGGTAACTTCTAAGCTTTTGAATAGAGGAAGGGTGTAAAGGTAGGAAATTTAGAGGTTTTAGAGACCATGCTTTTCTCTAGAGACTGCTAAGCCCAACATGTCTACAATCCATGAGAAGCCTAGGCTATTGGTAAGGTCTAGGGCTTAGGATTTGGAAGTCAAAAGTGAACAGACCATCTGATGCATCAAATACATTACCTTGCTAATGTGGAGGATACAAAATTGATACTCTGAACTGTAAGACTATAATGATAAGCCCTGCCATTGTGTATGTGCAATAGTGTTTACAGCCATGGAAACAACTGAAGAATTAACTGGACATACATAGTAACATTTATAGTATGCCACTCAGAAAATCTATAATGATCCTGTTTATGAAACAAAGTTGGAAAGGGCACCCAGAGAGTCCACCACAATCAATGTTAATTCTTGAATATCAGTGATATTATAAATAGCATCCTTTTATCATTCATTTTGTATTATTTGAAAGTTACTGAGAGAGACGGCTCCCATGTGCTGGTTCATTTGCTAGATAAATAGAATGGTTGCAATTGAGTCACTTGCATACCTCCAGTGTAGGTGCAGAGGCTCACGAACCTAGGCCATCTTCTGCTGTTTTCTCAGGCCATAAAAGGAGCTGGATTAGAAGTGCAACAGCTAGGACCTGGATTGGCGCTCATTTTGGATACAGGTGCTACAGGCGGACGTTTAGCCTATTGCGTTGTGCCAGCCCCAATAGCAAATTTTCCAAAACACTCTTACCTTTAAACAGAATAGTAACATTCATTTTTATTTGAGAAGCAGAGGAAAATTGACCTATCGTGCTACTGATTGACTCCGAAAATGCCCACAACAGCCAGGTATTGGACTGACTGAAGCCAGAAATCTAGTACATAACCAGATTTCCCAGGTGGGTAGAAGAGACCTACCTGGGCCATCACTTACCCCATAGGCGCCCATTAGCAGGATGCTGAAATTCAAAGCAGAGCCACAACTTAAACCCAGCTATTCCAATATGCTTGTTGGTATCCTACACAGCATCTGAACCACCACAACAAGTGCCCAAAGCCATATTTAAAATGTATCTTGGTGACTTAAAGTCATTACTATATATACCATATATTTTATTGTGAGAAATCAGTAGAGTTTTATAAATAATAATGGGAGGTATGGAGAATTTGGGGTCTAATTTATTACTGCTCTTTTAAAAATACACATATTTTTAAGATTTATTTATTTTCATTGGAAAGTCAGAGATACAGAGAAGAAAAGAGAGGAAGATTTTCTGTCTGATGATTCACTCCCCAAGCAGCCGCAATTGCTGCAACTGAGCTGGTCCAAAGCCAGGAGCCAGGAGCTTCTTCTGGGTCTCCCACGTGGGTGCAGGATTCCAAGGCTTTGGGCCGTCCTCCACTGCTTTCCCAGGACACAGTCTGGGAGCTGGTTGGGAAGCAGGACTGCTGGGATTAGATCATGAGCCCATATGAGATCCAAGGGCATGCAAGGTGAGGACTTTAGCTGCTAAGATACCACACCACACCCTCTAGCATTTTTATATTTTGTATATTGTCCTTTGCAATGAAATTCATCAGAGCAAAGCTTTGCAATACAGTGTACACATTTTAAGTAGAAGTTTGGGTAAACATATATTGCTGTTGAACTACCACTCAGATTAAGATACTAAGGGGAGGAAAAAAAAAATCCAAGTAAATTTCCTCAGGCTTCTTTGCAGTCATCCTCCTCCACTGACTTCCTGCTTGCCCAGGCAGCCAGTATTCCAGTTTCCAACACTATACAATATTGAGCCACTTCTTGTAAGTAAAATCATACGCCATTTACTGGTTTCTGTCTGGTTTCTTTCCCTCAATGACATCTGCCAATAATATTTGCACATATCAACAATTCTCCCATTTTTATTGCTGATTACTGTTCCACTACAGATATGTCACAGCTTATTCATTTATAAGCATTTGGGTTGTTTCCACTTTCAGCCTTTTGGGCATGCATGCAAGCAGCCCCCCCCTCTTCGGTAGATATTAACAGCTTGAAATCTTTAGTCATAGTAATATACATTCGACTTGGTAAGAATATGCCAAACTGATTTTTCAATAGTTAAAATGATTGCACTGTTTTACATTCCCATTGGCAATGTCTGAAAATTTAAATTCCTTGCCATCATTAATTTTAGGAAAATTCTACTCTTTGTGCCACACAACAGGGATATTTTGTTTTGTTAGACTAACACTTTGGCGATGTAATAATGAAGTTTTAAAAAACCAAAAAAACTTTGCAGATGAAAAAGCTAGAAGCCTACAGTCAAAACATACCTGAAAAGCAAGATTGTTGAGCACTTTGACTTTATGAGTCATTAATAAGAAAGATGTTGAATTTATCCTCAGCAGCACGTTTAAGAGCTAGCCAGTTGGCTGAGACACTCTTAGAACACTTCTTTGAGAGTTCCTGCTGCTGCTTGAATTGTGAAAGATGCAATAGAAATATGTTTCTTTACTTCTTTCCAGGCCAAACGAGGGTCTGCTTTATTTTCAATGTCAAACATTGCATCATAGATCCCAGGAAATGATTCTCCAGCATATTTGTTATGACTACTTGGAGCAAAGATGATGTGCCTAGGAGGAAAAATAAACATATATATACACAAAAACAAGTTGAATACATGTATGTACGTATATATTCATTTTCTTTTTTCATATCATATACTATATCATTTCTACTGACATTTGTTGCTGTTGGAAGGCAAATAATTGTTCCTAGATCTTTATGCAAAGCTGTAATTTTAAGAAAAGAGCTGACAATATGCACTTTCTAAGACATGAATCATGTACCATGTTACCAGTTATTGGCTAGGGAAAACCTAATCTTAGAAGTTGTGTGCAATGTCTTAACTGCTTTGTCATTTACAAACATGTATATTTTTATGGGTGTCTTCAATAAGAAAAGATTAAGAGAAGTAACTTGTTGCGTTTTTAGATAACTCTGATGGCGGTTGCTCCCAATACTTCTCAGGTGTTAAAAAGGGAGAAAGCAGCTTGCATCCCCAAAATACAAATGATAAGAAGGATGAAGCCCATTTCACAGAACTAAAACAGTTACATATTGTTTGCCCACCAAAACAATTTCTCATCTAGAAGGAGAATTTATGATTGCTTTCCTATTTATTATATAATTAGCCCAAAAGATCCAATTTCTAATTTCTTCAGTAAGCACACAGGAATTTGCCTTTTAGAAAGGGACTTTTTGACTTTTAAGATTTAGCTTATTTGAGAGTCAGAGTGACAGAGAGACAGAGCTCTTCCATCTGCTAATTTCATTCAGCCAAATGCCAGCAACAGCAGGGGCTGGACTGGGCTAGAGCCAGGAGCCACAAGCTACTTCTGGCTCTTCTCCATGGGTGGAAGGAACCCAAGCGATTAGGCCATTATCTGCTACCTGCCTGGTGTATTGGTAGGAAGCTCACTTCGAAGTGGAGTGGTCAAGACTCGAACCTGCATTCTGAAATTAGATCCAGATATCCCAAGTGACTGCTTGGCCACTGTGCTACATACAATATCCTCCCCAGGCAGAGACATATTAATACTTATATCAAGAATTAAGTCTGATAGTAAAATCCTGGAATTTACTCAAGATGTAATTCTTATGAATAAGACATTATAGAGCTCTGTATAGTCAGTTGCAATGATCAAGGAGAAGTAATACTGCTAATCACTTATAATTACTGCCATATATTAAAATTAACACTGTGAGATTTTTGAGTCTTGATGTGTGAAATAATGAAAATAATATATAGCATGTTCCAAAAATTGTGGAGATTGAGTTAGGTCTTTATACATACACACACGTATGTATAGAAATAATAGAAATTTATTTTGAAGACATTATACAGTATATTATTGAATGTGTCCTGTCATCCATATCCCTTTAGTACATTTTTTTCACCCTCCACTTGTGTGATTGCATTAGTTTACAGCAAACTTTGTTGTTTTTGTTCATGGTAAAGCATTTGATGTCCTTTAATCTTTCCTTACCTGTAAAAGCGCCTTCCTGGCAAACCAAGGGGATCAATGAATGCTCTTTCCAGTAGCATCAATTGGTCATTCAAAATTCTCACAGCAATGGCACTTGGGAAACAAGAAATAATATAATTACAACTCTTACTATGGAAATGTGTTTTAAAGTAATATTAAATAAAGATAAGATGGCAAAATAAACTTCTAAATTCACATTTTTAACAAAATAGATCTTAATAATGCTTTTACATGGTAAGTTACATACAATACCAGAATCATCTCTCTACCATTCAAATGGAATGACACATCAAGAAATTGTTTTTTTTTATTTTCAGGACCATATGATGAGCAAAAAGAACTGCAAGAAATTCTTGACTTTTTCTAGGAGAGCCAGACCTCATGTGAAGATAGACAGTGAGCTATCAATTTGTTCTTGATAAATCATTCAGTTCTACTAAGAAAGTAGCAAAGGCTGAGCACCAAAGTGATTGATCGATTTAGGAGTTGCTGAGAAAGCCCAGATGGAGCTGCACACAGTGAGTGGGCAACTGTCAAATGCAAACTCTTCAATCCTTCTGTTTTGGGAAACAATAAATTCGTGGGCTCATCTACAATTGAATGGAGAGAGACGCTAATCTAAATTACTGCCACTTTTGAGTCAATACAAGTAGAACTTTTTCTGATTAAGAGTACAAAAACTAAATAACAGATCATTCTGTAGAATAATCCATGCTTGTTATGGCCATTTAAGTTACTCTCAACCTGTAAGTGGCAAGTGTGTATGCAAAATACAGAAAAAGTATCAACAAAATAAGAATGTCCATACTGGCTTAAGCAAAAGACCAAGGAAGTAAAATATTTTGCAAAAATATTAATTGCCAACCATAGTCGGAATTCCCATCACACAAAACTAAAGAAGTATCTCGGATTCTCCATTTGACATGAGTTTTTTAGTCTACCATTCAGAACAGTGCTCCCCCAGCCTTAATAATAGTATAAGTTTTATTAAATCTTTAATAAATCTTATTAAAATGCAGCATTTTAATTCAGTGAGTCTTGGGTGGGGTGTAATAGTCCGCTTTCCTGACATGTTCTCAGGTGATGCTGACGCTGTGGGTTTGCAGACACGACATAATAACTATGGTTTGCAGCTAGATGTTTCTGAGTGAAAACAGGAACCAGATTGCTTCTCAGGTGGCATCTGTAACCTACTTCTTAAACTTACTTAGAAAGATCAGCTTGTGTAAGTCTTCTATGAAAATCTGAAGCAGCTTCTGAGAAGTTTTTCACAGCAGAAAACAAGGAGTCTTTTTTGAAAAACAAAAATAGTATGAGTGCTTCATATTTCATAACTTCACTTCCCTCTCCATTCCAACATATGTGACTAAATAGAATTTTAAAACATCTTTATACTGAGGCTTTTTACAAATTCATGGTAAGTACTAGAGAAAAAATCACAACAGAAAACTTTGTATGAAAATTAACAATAGCCAAATTGATGCTTAAGAAGATAATTTTCAACAGTTTAGGATGTGATTATTTAACCCATAATGTAGTAAAAAAAACAAGTCTTTCCTCATTTATTCAGTATGTATTTATTGGAACAATTATTATCTCTAGACCCTGGCTATGGATAGAAATAATCCATAACCCTGACAATTATTACAGGAGAAAACAAAATCCATCCCTATTTGCAAATAATGTACTTTAGATCTTGTTCAAAGGGCAACCTGTGACAAACTCTCATCCATGCTGAGCAAGAGGATCTGGTGTGGGATGGTAAAATGTCTTGCATATTTATTTACTTAAATATTTATTTTGGTTTTATTTGAAAAGCAGAGTTACAGAGTGAAAGTGTGACAGAGAAGTCTTCTCTCCTGATTCACTTCCAAAATGATTACAGTATTCACAGCTGGGTTGATCCAAAGCCAGAAGTCAGGAGTCTCCTCTGGGTCTCCCACATAGGTGCAGGAGCCCGAAGACTTGAGTCATCCTCCACTGCTTTCCCAGGCCATATGCAGGAAACTGGATAGAAAGTGGAGCTTCTGGGACTGAACCAACTGACACCAGTATGTGTCAATGACCCAAGTACTGAGCCAGCATCATATGATACCCACTGATCAGAAACTGATCTCCAAGTATGACTGGCATTTAAGTTCAAGAACTATGATACAAAAGGCAGGCATGGCATGCAGTATGACAACCACTGCTACAAATGTCTACTTCACAAAATTTGTAAGGGAAATGATTAGGTTCTGAACATGTTACAATTTTATTTCAATTATCTATTGTCTTTCATAATTTCTAAACAGAACTTTAACACTAATTATTGATTTTTTACTTGCATCAATCCTGTCATGTAGGCACATATGACCATATTCATTTTACAACTTGAGTAAATGCAGCTCATTTCTTAGCATTTCTGTTAGGTAATACAGCCCATAAGTGGTACATTCACTATAAGAACTGTCTACATTTGGGACAAGAAATGGAGTCTTTTAAGTCCAAGCCTTTCTGTCCTTAACCTTTAACTACTGTCTTAAAACAGATACAAATCAAGTAGCTAAATAATAAGGTAGATGAATGTTAAAGCATTGTAATTTCCTCATGCAATGTGGAATTTAAGACAGATAAAACCGAATCTTGTCTCTAGGATTTAGTGCCACAAAAAAGCAGCAGACATAAAACAGTATAGATAATGGGTTGGCTGGAGGTAAAGAACAGGAGACAAAGAGAAGTAGATAATATATTCATCCCTTTATTCATCATTCCTTAATTCTTCACTAAAACATTATCTGAGATGGTATTGTGCAGTGGGTTAACATCTGAAACCCACAACATATGAGTGCTTGTTCCAGTCCCCACTGCCCTGTTTTTGATACAGCTCCCTATTGATTCATCTAGGAAGGCAGCAGCTGATGGGCCAAGTACTTGGACCCTTGCTACTCTGCAAGAGATGCATATGAGTTCACGGCTCCTGACTTCAGCCCAGCCTAGTTGAACTCAAATAACAAGGAATGGTACACAACAGATAGTCCATAAGCGTGATAGTAGGACTGGACAGTACATATTTGGGGAGTGAAGTAGTAGATGCAAGATCTCTGTCATTGTGCTTTTGATTATATAAAATAAATCAAGGAATTGATTTTGCCATACACTATATGAAGATTTTTGATGATGAAGGCAAAGAATATATTACAAAAAATATTGATGTTGTTAAGCTATAAAAGATGAGATGATATTTACTCTCATGTATAGTGAGTGACATGATTTGAACAACATTTTGGAGAAAGCTATTAATAGAGCATACAAGGACCTTAAGAAGGTAAGCAAATAAAGGAAATTTATGTGAAAAGAAAATTCAGCCACTGTCACTGTATAGCTTTGGGCTCTTAGCTGACTTAATGAAAACCGATAAGAAGCAATTTATAAAAGCAATAAGGATTTAGAAAATCAGCCAGATGCTGCACTTTCACAGAAATATGAATGTCCATCTTGCTGCAGGCTATGCTTATTTCTACATGTTCAACTCTCATCATTTACTCCATCATCAGAGAGATACACCAGTTACACTAATATAAACACACTGTATTACCTTTTTTTTAGCTACATTTAATAACTAGATCGTGGTACCTGTTATTTTCCATAACAACATAAATGTTGCTAATCCTTATGTAATTAGAAGAACTCACATCTTACTACTGCCTACCTATTCACTGTGCTCTTATGTTACTCTGTGTGCTCTATAACTTGTCCTCTGCAGTTTTTCAAATATTTATCTTATTTACTTGAAAGACAGAGTAATAAATAGCAAGGAACCCAGAACTCCAATATTGTTTCCAAATGGGTGGCAGAGACCCAGTTCATCTGCTTCCCAGGCCACACTGTCAGGAAGCTGGATCAAAGCAGAGTAGCCAAGATTCAGATACTACAAAATTCATTCATTCATTCATTCATTCGTTCATTTACTTGAAAGAGGGAGAGAGTTCAGGGGGACATGTGTTATCCACGGGTTCTCTGTCTGAGGTCAGGAGTTTTTTCGGAGACTTTCACGTGGGTAAATGGAGTTTGGGCCCTGTTACATTGTTTTCCCAGGCACATTAGCAAAAGCTGAATCAGAAGTGGTGTAGCCATAGCTTGAGTTGCAGGAAGAGGCTTTGTTACTATCCTGTGGTGCTCTGTCATCTACATTTCGTTTTCTTCCCTCCGTAAAAGTTTAAGCTCTTTGAGGACATTACTATGTTTTATATATACTAAGGTTTTCCAAATAACAAAGTGTAGTACACAGTAGACACCATAAAACACCACGTACTTGATACTTGTAGCAAATACTGTCAATAGGGATCACCAGAAAACAGAAATGTTACAAAAACCAGTAATACACGCATTTATTGAACACTATGTGTTAATAACCAATGCTTCCATGTATTACCTAATTGGATCTCAACAATAATCTTTGAAATACATTATATATATATATAACTGACACACAGGGAGGTTAGGTAACTTTCCCACAAAGCAGAGCCAACTCTAAAAAGTAGGTAAGCTGCTTCCTGATTCACCATCAAATATATAATATATTTCACTCCTGCTTTACCTAGTGATATGCCATGTAGAATGGCATCTAGTAGCTGGTCAACTATGATAGGGAAGGATACTTATGTCTTTTTAAAAAATCTTTCTTACAGAAAAACACTAAAATTTATATTCAACTATAAAATAAAAAGCAATTGCTTTTCAGTCTTTCACCAATAGTTGTTCCTTTTTCCCAATATCATTTCTTTAATAGTAAAAATATCCTAAAGCTAATAATGGAGGAAATATATACATATCAAGCCACTGTTTATATCACTACAGACTCAGGCATATTGAGTCTATGCTGCATAAATCGGATTAAATAAGATTCTTCAATAGGTCTGTGTTTCAAGCTTTTTTTAGAAGATCAGAATGAGTAAGTTTGGCAAAGATGAAGGATGAAGTATACATGTATTGATCATAGTAGAAGATATCTTAAAGCTCTACCTTAAAGATTATAAAATATTTCCTCAATCATTTCTTACCAAATGATACTCCATAGTCTTTCAATTGTTGGTCGTGTTTCTTGGATAAATTATAGATACTTGTTGCATAATTTTTTAGGGCTTTTGCATAGTCTTGAATATTGAAAGGAATGATTGTAGAGTCTGCAAGCTCATAAACCAGTGATCCTCGTAACTGAGCCACAGAAAGCTGTTTTTTAAATGTGGGATCATAAAAATTCTCTACCAATTCAAATGTTTCATATACTGTATGGTATACTGGGTAGCTGCTGTACTTATCTGTTTTCTAAAAAAGAAAAATGAGGGGTCAAGTATAAGAAAACACTGAAGATTCAAGTTACAATATATTATGATCATAAAAATGACTATGAAAGTATATAGAGGGGCCATTGCAATGGCTCAACTAGCTAATCCTTTAACTGCAACTCCTGGCATCACAGAAGGGTGCTGGTTCATGTCCTGGCTGCTCCATTTCCCATCCAGCTCCATACTTATGGCCTGGGAAAACAGTGGAGAATGGCTCAAAGCTTTGGGACCCTGTACCTACATGGGAAACCAAGAAGCAGTTCCCTGCTCCCAGCAATGAATCAGCTCAGATCCACCCATTGCAGCCCTTGGGGAGTGAACCAGCAGATGGAAGATCTCTCTCCCTCTCTTCTCTGTTCTCTCTTTTCTCTGTCTCTCTCTTCTTCTCTCTATAAATCTGCCCTTCCAATACAAGTAAAACAAATCTTTTTGTCTGTTTGTTTTAAAGAGAGAAACATCTAGAATCACATTTGACCTGGACTTTACAATAATGAAGTATGAAATACAAAAATTTAAATAAAATGCTATAATAAAAATTAACTGATTAAAAAATTTACTGCTATCCATTTTATAATTTATATAACCTTCATTCAAATATTTGATCTTGAAATTTTTTCTGATTTCATATCTGGCTACTAAAATTAAGGATTACAGTCTCAAATTATACATCAGGAAGATTCAAAATTATCAATTGAGAATGAAAGGTTTCAGGCAGCTAAGTTTTTATGGAACTGAAGAATGACCTAATTATGTATATTCCCTCCCTTCCCAATTTCATTTTACATTTATTACATAATTCAGGTCTACTTTTATACATGTTATCAAAGGGATGTGTCCTATATTAGTGCTCTTGAGTTCCTAGATCTCCCTATCCCTAATTTTCATTGTATTTCTATATTTAAATATGTATGTTATATGTATATATAGGAAATCCATTACAAAGAGAAAAGAAAAAAAATTTTCTAGCCACAGGCTCACTCCTCAAATGCCAGCAATGCCCAGGGCTGAGGCAGACAGAAGCCAGGACACGGGAGCATTATTTAGGTGTCCCATAGGCGTAGCAAGGGCCCAAACACTTGGACCACCCTCTGTTGCCTTCCCCAGGCAGATTAGCAGGGAGTTGTATGGAAAGTAAAGCAGCTAGGAAAAAAAGTAGATACGAATGAGATGCAAGCATTGCAGGTAACAGCTTTAACCCACTATGCCAGGAAACCAGCTCTCTAATATATCTTAAATTTAATGAACAAATTGATTTAAATCTATGAGAAACCTGTATCTACTAATGTAGCCCCCTAATTGATATATGACACAATTTGATCATAAAGAGACAAATATGGTATATATTGGCTATATCCAAGTATTTGATGTCATCAGAATGAAGCAAATGAACAAATTAAACATTAAGAGAAACTTGCTTTTCCTTAACTAAAATATGCCCTCCAATAATATTTTTCCTCAGAAAAATCATATAAGACTGTAAGACTAAGCTAGAGATTAAGATTTTTTCAATAAATCTTGTGTCAAAAGAGAGGATATCAGCTACCTACGTATTGGTAACTAGCTAAGTATCTTGCTCTGCCCTGTAAACTGTCAGTTGACCAACCATTGTGAAAAAGTCCCAGAGTAACTCAAGTTATTCCTAATCCATCTATAAAGGGACATGCATTTTCTCTATTCCTGGTAACTTTTTGCAGAACACATGTCTACCTGGTGCCTGATGTCAAACTGTTTAGTTATGCCTCACCAAAGAAATATGAATGATAGGCAAAATGATAAAAATAATTTACCTTATTCTTTGTGTAACGAGCTCTGCCTGAAGCAATTCCAAGTCTCTGAAAATAAGCTTCAAAATCACTTCCAGATCCCAGCTTATTGATTCTAGCAGAATATAAATAATATATATGGACACACACTCACATGCACAAGTAAATAAAGAATACAAAGTATATAGATGAGCAAGGAATCATATAGTATATTTATAGCAATTAGAAAAAATTTAAGTACCCTTGATACACTTTCTTATCATATACTGGAAAATTGCTGTGAAAAACAGACAAATTGCATATTACTTACAAATTTGCATACAGAGTTGGGTAGTGTCATAAAACAACTAAGCCCAGTGATAATGCTTTCTCCCACGTTACCCGTATTCTGCGTCATACTTTATAGAAGGGACAACATTGAAGATACAGCCTCCCATATGGAGCCATGATTACAGCTGTGGCTGCTCCACTTTCCAATGCACCTTGGAAAGCAGTGGGAGGTGGGTTAAGTGCTTGAGCCTCTTCACTCATGTGGGCCCCATCAGCCATCCAGGAGACTCAAATGAAAAATGAACAGCCAATCATTGTAGCCATCTTGAGGGTGAAACAGCAGGTGCAAAATCTCTAACTCTGCCTTGAAATGTAAATATGTACATATATATTTTTTTCTTTTTGTATTGATTACATTGCATCATACATATATTTTTAAAAGATGTATATAAGTAATTTACCTGGGGAAATCTTTATTTTCAGGTGAAGGGTCTTTTTCCAACCAGCTTTCATAAAGAGATTTACTCTCAAAACCATCATCTGGGCTGGGAATCTGGAAAGACAAATTGATACTGAAAATCAAGTGTGGAAACAAACTAAATTTTAAAAATTATTATTTTCCATAAGACAGCTTTGTGGGTATACAGATTTCCCCCTTTTCCTCCCCTTTCTCCTTCCTCGCTTTTCTCCCCCACCTTGCTCCCAAATATTTTTAGAATAGTATAGTCCTTTAGTAACATTTACAAATGAAGCATTCTGCAATTTAAGTTCATGATGGCATTGTAGGTATAGACAAAGGTAGAAAATCAAAGATAATATTATTGAGGTATATTTAATGTTACACTGGGAGTCTTTTATTTGAGGGTACAGATGCATGACACAATGTGTCTTCACTTCCTGGTATGCTAGTCTCCATTACATAGTTCATCTATGAGATTATATGCATATACTTCTTCATTTATACACCTATTTATCTTATTCATTTGTCCTTTTGATACTGTGTTATTTCACTGAGTGCAATGCTTTCTAGTTGGGACCATTTTGTTGCAAATGCTAGAATTTCATTCTTTTTAATAGCCAACTATATTGGGCCCAGCAGCATGGCCTAGCGGCTAAAGTCCTCGCCTTGAACACGCCGACATCCCATATAGGCACTGGTTCTAATCCCGGCAGCTCCACTTCCCTTCCAGCTCCCTGCTTGTGGCCCGGGAAAGCAGTCGAGGACGGCCCAAAGCTTTGGGACCCTGCACCCACGTGGGAGACCCGGAAGAAATTCCTGGATCCTGGCTTCGGATTGGCATAGCATCGGCCGTCACTTGTGGAGTGAACCATCAGACAGAAGATCTTCCTCTCTGTCTCTCCTCCTCTGTGTATATCTGACTTTGTAATAAAAAATAAATAAATCTTTTTAAAAAATAGCAGGCTAGTATTTCACTGTTTCTTTATCCATTTCTCTATTGACAGGCACCTGAGTTGTTTCCATGTCTTCATTATTGTGGATTGTGCTGCTATAATTGAAGGGGTGCAGGCTGCTTTTTGTATTCAGATCTCACTTCCTTTGGATATATACTCAGAAGTGGAATAGCTGACTCATGTGATAGATAATTTTTCACTGTTCTGAGCAGTCTTCACACTGACTTCCATAGTGGTTGGTACTAACTTACACTTTTGCCAGTAGTGGAGTAGGGTGCCTCTCTTCCCCACAGCCACACCAGCAGGTGGTGGTAGCTGATTTCTGAATGTAAGCTGTTCTCACTGAAGCTAGGTGAAACCTCATTGTGATTTTTATTTGTATTTTTTAAAGAGCTACGGAGCCTGTTGGCCATTTTAATTTGTTCTTTTGAAAAATGCCTGCTCATTTCCTTTGTCCATTTCTTAGCAGGATTGTTTGTCTTGATGTTGGGTTTCCAAAGCTCTTGTTTCATGAACAAACCCAAGGCAATCCACTTAGTGCATTGTTTCCTCCTCTGAAACATAGCGTTCTTTCCTGCAAAGATGAGAATACTGGTGCCTATATATATATTTTTTTAAAGATTTATTTTTATTATTTTTTCATTGGAAAGGCGGATATACAGAGAGGAGAGGTAGAGAGGAAGATCTTCCGTCCGATGATTCACTCCTCAAGTGAGCGCAACGGGCCCATACTATGCCGATCCAAAGCCAGGAGCCTCTTCCGGGTCTCCCACACGGGTACAGGTTCCCAAGGCTTTGGGCTGTCCTCGACTGCTTTCCCAGGCCACAGGCAGGGAGCTGGAAGGGAAGCAGGGCTGCCGGGATTAGAACCGGTGCCCATATGGGATCCCGGGCGTGCAAGGCGAGGACCTTAACCACTTGCGCCACCGCGCCGGGCCCCCTGGTGCCTATTTTAATCAAGCAAAATATCTTGTGAGATTTTTTCTGGCTTGTATATGGAGTTATTCATATATTTTTTCCCGCCTATTGTTAAAAAATCTGCAGATGTCTAGTAGTGCAGATATGGAGAAATTGATATAGTTTCATCCTCTTGGCTCTCCCAGCACAATCTAATCAGATATGTATACACCAAGCAAATAAACATGGAAAACAAAATATGATAAGCCAATTTGAAACAGAAGAAAAAATTGTTACAAAGAAATGCGGATAGGAATGAGGAGGCAGGCAGAAGTGTCCTCAGAGAATGCCTGTCTGAGAAAATGGCAATCAAATCTCAGAGACCTGACTCTAACAAAGGTTTTAGGTATTAGCACATGTTTCTCAGTATTGCCTTGCTTCAGTTTCATCCCATCTAATCATATGCACAAAGTTGTTATGCTTATGGATAATACTGGCTCTTAGCAGTCTTAAAGCAAGGCGCAGCTTCTGATTGAGCTTCTTGCTAATGCTCCTGGAAAGGCAGAAGTCGGCCCAAATACCTGAGCTCCTGCTACGCATAGGGTGACCCAGCTGGAGCTCTTGGCTCCTGATTTCGGCAGGCCCAGACCTGGCTGTAACAATCATTTGAGTATTGAACTAGTACATGGAGGATATATTCTATCTGTTTCACTACTTTTCAGACCAAGGTGTTTCCCCCCCTAATTTCTCTATCTTTAGGTTTCTCCCTGGTCTCTTTGTTATGTCTTTTTTTCTTAGATTCTTTTCCACATCTTTGCTAGGTCATCTGAGTCACCTTCAGTTTAAAAAATATGTTATTTGTTTGTTTGATTTTACTTATAGTACACTTTCTTAGCTTCTACATCCTTTTAGTTGTTCAAGTATTAACTTTTTAAAAAAGTATTCTCTTGTGCTTCACAACTTCCGCTGTATATCCTGGAATTTTAGATTCTGTATTCTGTGTCTGTTAGATATAACTGCATACAGTATGAAGCATTCTAGTGAGCTGTAATTCCACATGCCCATCTAGATTGCTACATTCAGGGACCCTGTGCTTTCATTGTTGCTGCTAGAATTCACTTTACAGGCCTGGCACATAATAACCACTCAATGAAGATCTGTTGAGTTGAATGAGTGAGTATTCAAAGCAACTTATGACCTCAAGGCTTTGCTATTTTGCTCAGCGTTCTTTCTGTAACATCAAAATATGTCATGAGATTAACATTATGTGCCCTATATATCACAGCTACTAGACAATGATTAGTAACAACTAATATTAGAATGATGAGATTGATACCATTGGCAATTATGTCACATAATACTATCTAAAGGCTTGTTTCTGTTTGTTATTTACACAGTTATATTCCATCATCAGTTTAAAACTAAGTACCACTAAATAAATGGGAAAGAGTTACTCATTAATCCATACATCAAAAAACCTACTAGGGTAGGTGTCTTTATATACCTCTTTTGTCAGTTTATACACCAATTGGTAAAGAAGGGGTGTACAGTCAACTCTGAGAGTATAATTGCCTGAAAATAAATAAAATATAATGAGTATTACTACACACATCTAGGTGAAATTCTAACTGCATTTAATCCTAACTTTATGTTCCAATTTTCAACAAGATTTAATTGTCTTAAATTTAATGCCACCATTCTTGTGGAATCAAACAGGATAGGAATAGTTCTGCAGTTGCTAGAAAGACTATAGCACACATTTTGGATAGAGACAGTCCAAGTGGATTCCTGTTGCCAAAGCAACAGCACCCATGGCGATTATGTGGTCACCCCGAACAGAGAAGCGCTTATGTACACCTTGGCAAAAAAAGAAGCAAGACTGCCCCCATTTCTTCCTTAGTCTTTTATTTAATTCAATAGTACATGTCAGGATGCTACACAAGAACATGTCAGTAACTAGTAAAAATTCTCTGATGTTAACTATAAATAAGAATGCAATGAAACTCTAGAGACAAAAATAGCACGTCTGTTACAAAAAAAGTTCGTAGTTTTGTGTTTATTTCAAAGTCATCCAGATACAAAAATATCTGTGGAAAACATTCTGTGAAGCAGTGTGATAATTCTGAAATATCTCAGCAAAATTTCTTTACCATCCCTATGAAAAAGATATGCTTTATGCCAGAGTTTTAAGTATTAATTCAAGACAAGTCAATAGTAAATATACCAAAGAAATCACTAGGATCATGAGCTCAGAGCTCGATTATGAGTCACATTGATTATTTTCTCTATGATAAAATATAAAATGAGGGCCCTGTGTGATGGCTCAGTGGCTAAATCCTTGTCTTACACATGCCGGGGTCCCATATGGGCATCAGTTCATATCCCAGTTGCTCCACTTCCCATCCAGGTCCCTGCTTATGGCCTGGGAATGTAGTAGAGGATGGCTCAAAGCCTAGGGGCCTTGCATCCATGTTGGAGACCCCAAAGAAACTCCTGGCTCTTGGCTGTGGATCAGCTCAGCTCTAGCTGTTGTGGCCACTTGGGAGGGTAAACCAGCAGATGGAAGATTTTTCTCTTTCTCTCCTTTTCTCTGTAAATCTGCCTTTCCAACAGGAATAAATAAATCTTTATAAAAGAAGCACAGATATCTTTTTAAAAACATAACATGAACTTATTACTGAGAAATCTCAAGAAATGAGGATATCTGAGATAGTTAATGGTTTATAACTTATAGGTTGAAAGAACAATCAAGTCTCAAATTTTCAGTTCTATGACTATGTCAACAACACACTTATCTCAAAGTTACCAGAAGTTGTGTAGTTATTCAATTTAAGTTTTCAGATGTGTCCTGTATACATGTAACAATAAAATGTAACAGATTAATAAGTTAAAGACACATGACATAAAAATTCTTTGAGGTTTTAGAATTTGTTTTGCTTATTTGGAAGGCAGAGAGTACAAACACAGACAGGAAGCAGAGAGAGAGATCTGTTCTCTGTGGTTCACTCCTCAAATGCCTACAACAGTGGAACTCGACCAGGCCAAGGCCAGCAAGTCAGTCTGGGTGACCCGCTTGAGTGATCAATACAACCACTTGAGCTATCACTTGTCTATATGCAGGGTATGCATTGGCATGAAGTTGAAATCAAGAGTCGATGTAAGACTCAAATCCAGCCACTCTGATGTGGTATGCAGGTATCCCAAATGGTGTCTTAATCAATATGGCAAATGTCCACTCAAAAAATACTTTATTATAATTTTACTTTAAATTGAAATGAAAGTTACCTTCTATAGATGAATCTGAGTTGATATACGCAACACTTCTCTGCTGGAGTATTTTTACATTTTCCTACAGTTGAAGCAAAAATGTTACTTCACTCACAGCACTTATAATTGTAAAACACAAGGAAAATAAATTTGTGAAGAAAAAAATAAATGAGTCAATACCCACTTGTGACCATAATCTCTGAAAAAAAAATGTTACAAATTTGTTTACTGGCATTAATGCAATTAAGGCAAGACAGATTATTAGGAAAGAATGGCTACAGTTTAGAGCAAGTAGACAATCTCAAAGCGGAAGTATTTTCAAAATATAGCTCCTTGATTCCCTCCATCGGAACATGCAAATTTGAGGTTCCCAGATTTTGGCATCCAGACAACTGAATCAGAACTGTGCATAATACTTGGAATTCTCTGTTTCTTGACAGAGGATCCTGGTAGTCGATCTTTCTGTGCACTGCAGTTTGAGATCCAGTAAGAATGGCTATTCAAGTAAAGAGATTATTTTAAAAGTGATACATAGACAACTTCCACTTACATATGTTTATTTGTGAAGTAGAGAAGTGAACAAATATTAAAAGGCTTAGTGAAGAGAAAAATTAGAGGGAACAAAGGAAGTACAGATTAAGACAAAAATGAGATAAGACTTTTTCTCCCTCCCTCTCTCTCATGCACACACACACACAGATGCAGATATTCAGAAAGACTAAAGTAGTCACACCGATGGGAACATTTTCAGAGGGCCCTTCATCTCTCTAGAGCTAGTTACCTTACGAACATGTTACAGTCAACACAGTTAAAGCTGTGTTAGATTATGGCACTTGCCTGCACAGGAGAGATGAGAGATGCCTCCATTATAAATAGAGGATCATAATTTCCATTATGTTAGAAATACAATGGACATAAAGAAGATTCCTTCATATGTACTTAAAGTAGGTACATTTGCTGCTAAATATGACCAAGAATCTGGTAGAAAACTGGAAGGAGTATTGATAGTTTTTTTTTTAATTAAAGATTTATTTATTTATTGGAAAGGCAGATATACAGAGAAGAGGAGAGACAGAGAGGAAGATCTTCCGTCCGATGATTCACTCCCTAAGTGTGCACAACGGCCAATGCTATGTCGATCCGAAGCCTAAGCCAGGAACTTCTTCTGGGTCTCCCATGCAGGTGCAGGGTCCCAAAACTTTGGGCCATCCTCGACTGCTTTTCCAGACCACAGGCAGGGAGCTGGATTGGAAGTGGAGCTGTCGGGATTAGAACCAGCGCCCATATGAGATCCTGGCGTGTTCAAGGTGAGGACTTTAGCCGCTAGGCCACGCCCCTGGGCCTTGAAATAGTTTTTAACACACACATATATAAAATAACAAATACATATTTATTACTTCATAACTAGGACTTTTAAATGTTCATTTTTTAAAAGATTTATTTTTATTATTTTTTTATTGGCAAGGCGGATATACAGAGAGGAGAGACAGAGAGGAAGATCTTCTGTCCAATGATTCACTCCCCAAGTGAGCGCAACGGGCCGATACTATGCCGATCCAAAGCCAGGAGCCTCTTCCGGGTATCCCACACGGGTGCAGGGTCCCAAAGCTTTGGGCCGTCCTAGACTGCTTTCCCGGGCCACAGGCAGGGAGCTGGAAGGGAAGCGGGGCTGCTGGGATTAGAACCGGCGCCCATATGGGATCCCAGGCGTGCAAGGCGAGGACCTTAAACACTGCGCCACCGCGCCGGGCCCTAAATGTTCATTTTAACCTGCTAAAAGTATTAAAAAACAGACGTGTATATGTGTGTGTCACAAGAAATATATTTACAAAAGCAGATTACTTTGATGAATAAAGTTTGATTAATCTAAATTAGTGTGCTGCTTCCAAAATTCATAATCATGGGCCTGGCACAATAGCATAGGGGTTAAAAGTCCTCTCCTTGAATCCACCGGGATCCCATGTTGTCACCGGTTCTAATCCCGGCAGCCCCACTTCCCATCCAGCTCCCTTCCTCTGGCCTGGGAAAGCAGTCGAGGACGGCCCAAAGCCTTGGGACCCTCCACCCACCTGGGAGACCTGGAAGAAGTTCCTGGCTCCTGGCTTCGGACTGGCTCAGCTCTAGCCTTTGCAACCACTTGTGGAGTGAACCATCAGACAAAAGATCTTCCTCTCTGTCTCTCCTCCTCACTGTATATCTGCCTTTCCAATAAAAATGAATCTTAAAAAAAAATCATAGTCATGACAAAAATTTAAGAGTAAAAATTTGCAATGTAAATGGAACCAGTACAAATTATATCAGACAAGTGTATCTGCATGAGTCTATGCCTGCATTTACTTGATTTTATATTATTTTTTAAGTTATATTGGAGGAAATTGTACTGGAGAGACACATTTTAAAGCAGAATTTAATGACAGTGAAACATGTACCCTATAAACTCACAAATGATAAATAGTAGATAGTGGTAGGAGATAGTTACACTTACACAGTGTAACTATCTTTATAATAATGTATGAGCTTACCTTATACGTTTAAGAACTTGAAGATTACTAAATACAAAGTTAAGGAAAGAGGAAAGAAACGAAGGATAGGAGACAGAAAAAAAACAAGAAGCAGTGACAAATGAAAAAAAAAAGGTTGAAAAGGAAGGAAAATAACTCTGAAATTAAAAAGGAAGGTCAATTTATTAAAGTAATTTAATTATGAAATCATCATCTCACATTTACCACTCAGGCATACTTCTGTTGTGAATAGAGCAATGGCTCTAATATTATGCAGTCTATAAATGTTAAGCCATAGTCAAAGTATTGTTACCTTAATATGTTCTTTTATGCTGCAAGGATTTTTCAGCTGCAAAAACTCCAAGGAGAACTTAGAAATATGAAAGTAAACTCGAAGGATTTGTACAAGTTACTGAGTCAGTTCATTGATTAACATACAAACAAAAAACCCAGACTCCTACTTTTGGATGTTTTCTGAATTTATTGATTCTACTTAGTTTTAATAAAATACACATAGAAAATAACATATCTTAACAGGAATGAATACATATTTGTGACCTAGCAATGGGAAATTCTTGTACCAAACTGGATGCAAAATTAAATTTTACTGAATTTTCCTGGAAGATAAAACTGTGCTTCTTGCGTGTGTTGAATCATTTATCAAATTATGATTCTTTTAAATCACGAAATTTTTTTGTGATTATTACAGGATATATAAATCTTCCTCCTGCTGGTCAGTTTGAGAAAGGAAGTTTGTGGGTTGGGAGAGATGACATGCTGGTAATGGCTCGATTGGCTAATCCTCCATATCAAGTACCAGGATCCCTCTGGGTCTCAATTCATGTCCACGCTGTTCCATTTCCCATCCAGCTCCCTACTTGTGTCTGGGAAAGCAGTAGAGGATGAGCCAAAGCCCTGGGATCCTGCACCCATGTGGGAGACCCAGAAAAAGCTTCTGGCTCCTAGTTTTGAATTAGTTCAGTTCTGGCCATTACAGCCATTTGGGGAGTGAAGCAGCAGATGGAAGATCATTCTCTCTGCCTCTCCTTTTCTCCTTAAATTTGACCTGCATTTTCAACAAAAATAAATAAACCTTTTAAAAAATAATAATAAATGAGAACAGGCACCTTTTCTGTCTGACCTACCTCAGCCCATTCCGTGGAACCCAGAAGTCCAAACTCTTCTGCATCCCAGCTAGCAAAAATGATAGTTCTCCTAGGTTTCCAACCTGCAGTCATTATAAATATATGTGGTTAGATACACCTGTGGTTAGATAAAGGGAAACTAGACCAGTCATTGTTGCCATCACCTAACCATAGAAATGTTATTTACCTTTAGTTATCAGTTTTCCAAAACTCTGGGCAATTTCTTGCAAAACAGCAGTTCCACTGGTTGGGTCAATACCTCCAAACACCCAAGAATCCCGGTGACCTCCCAAAATGACATACCTATCTGCAAAATAATGTGTTCAAAAATCAACAACTTTAAATGCATAGGAAGTATGTATAATTCATGTTTTAAAATTAAACTTCCTTTTGCTTCCATTTCTTCCACGCAGAAAACAATCAACAATATAAAGTAAAACCTTCCTTCAGAGTTTTACACTTCTCCTCCCAAAATTTTGTAATTTCAGTCCAGCCAGAAAAAAGTGTCATGACTGAAGCTCACCTTTAGTTACTATTTAATTTTTGTAGAAACCAAATGTAAAGAAACACAAATCCAGTGAACTCACCAGGCTCCACGGATCCTGTGATAGTTCCAATTACGTTGTAAATTCTTGTGATTTTATTGATGTTATGAACATGCATTCTAACCTTCCTAGAATTTCAATAGGAATACATTACTTTGGATAGGGTGCTATGTCTACATTTTAACATTTCATTGTGAAAAACAATCTTATTGTGAAAAAATAATGGGGACTGTCAAGGCAGCATAGCAGGCCAATCTTCCACCTGTTCATGTCCCAGGTGCTCCACTTCTGATGCAGTTCTCTTATTACGTCTTTGGGAAAGCAGAGGAGAATGGCTCAAGTCCTTGAGACTCTGCACCCACACGGCTAACTTGGAGGAAGCTGAGTCTTCTGCTTGCCTCAGCTCTGTGCAGCCATTTGGGCAGTGACCCAGCAGATGGAAGACCTTTCTCTCTCTCTTCTCTCTTTGTCTCTCATTCTTCCCTGAAAAATCTGCCTTTTTTTTTTTTTTAAGATTGTTTTATTTTTATTTGAAAGTCAGATATACAGTGAGGAGGAGAGACAGAGAGAAAGATCTTCCCTGCGATGGTTCACTCCCCAAGTGAGCACGACAGCAGATACTGCGCCGCCGATCCAAAGCCAGGAACTTCATCCGGGTCTCCCATGTGGGTGCAGGGTCCCAAAGCTTTGGGCCGTCCTCAACTGCCTTCCCAGGCCACAAGCAGGGAGCTGGATGGGAAGTGGAGCTGCCGGGATTAGAACCGGTGCCCATGTGGGATCTCAGAGGATTCAAGGAGAGGACTTTTAGCTGCTAGGCCACAGCGCCGGGCCCAAAATCTGCTTTTCAATTAAAAATAAGTAAATGGTAAGCAATAAACAAGGGACAAGTTACTGTAAAAGTTACCTCCGTTCAATCATAAAAAAAGCAATGCAACACAGGTGTGCTTAGAAAAATAAATGAAACATTGTACACTAGGACAAATAATTATCATGTATTCACCATATAAATATAACAATTGTCAGCACTGCTGTGCCACGTGTAAAGCAATTGCGGATATCAAGATAATTTACTAAGTCTTAAGCAGATAATGAAAGCTGAATTTTTAAATAAGGTGAACAGTTAACATTTTTTCTTCCTGATAGTATGTTGTTGATATTTACTAATAATTGAAAATATTGTCTTTCGGGCCTGGCGCGGTGGCACAAGTGGTTAAAGGTCCTCGCCTTGCACGCCCGGGATCCCATATGGGCGCCGGTTCTAATCCCGGCAGCCCCGCTTCCCTTCCTGCTCCCTGCCTGTGGCCTGGGAAAGCAGTCGAGGACGGCCCAAAGCTTTGGGACCCTGCACCCTTGTGGGAGACCCGGAAGAGGCTCCTGGCTTCGGATCGGCATAGTATCGGCCCGTTGCGCTCACTTGGGGAGTGAATCATCGGACGGAAGACCTTCCTCTCTGTCTCTCCTCTCTGTATATCCGCCTTTCCAATGAAAAAATAATAAAAATAAATCTTTAAAAAAAAAAAAAGAAAATATTGTCTTTCAAAATACCTTTGGTATCCATTCTAAAATTTTTCAAGTACTTATGTGTAAATCCTTTATTACAAAACGAGAAAGACAGCCTGTAACATAATAAAGGAGACCATATTATATTAGCCTATCACTTGGATCTGTGTTTATGGTAATTCCTGCTGCTCAGGTAATTTTTGTCAGATGATGGAAATAGTAAATGCAGGTACTTTGTTAAAGAACTTGTGAGAATGTTGACTCCAAAAATTACAACGAATTCCATTTTTCGATGAAAATTTGGGACGCTCCTGCTAAAATGAACACGTTCATAATTAAATTTCCTGAGCCTTCATTGTTAGTTCTGATTTGAAGTAGAAACTGAAATCGTCATTCATGAATTACAATTCAGCAGTTTAGGAAACAAGAGAAAAACACGAGCAAACTCAGTCAGACAAAAAAAAAAAAAAAACAACCACTCACTTGATGAATGAACAATAATATGTGAAAATGGTAAGCTGCTTTTTAACAAAGAAACAAAAAGCCTGAAATGTCTTTGATTATACTAAGAGTGGGAGGATCTCGTTGTTCCTCATTTGTGGTTCTTTGTTGTACACATCAGTAAGCTGCCAAGCCAAAATTCTTTAAGTGCAGAATTTGGTCCTTTTCTCCCCAAAATATTAAGTTGATGAATTTATATAGAGAAATAGTATTCAACTAAAAGTATCTTCAAGAGAAAAATTTTTTACCTCTTCCTTTGACCTAATGTAATCCATATATAGCATTTTTCCATGCTCAGCTTCTTTAAAAATTTATTTTTATTTGAAAGGCAGAGTTTCAGAGAGGACAGAAAGGTCTCTCATCTATGGTTTCACTCCCCAAATGGCTGCACAGCCAGAGTTAAGCTGAAAAGTAGCCAGAAGCCAGGAGCTTGTTCTGGGTCTCCCAAATGGGTGCAGAGTAAAGGACTTGAGCCACCTTCTCTGCTGAATTTCCAGGTAATAAACAGGGAGCTGGATCACAGTGGAGCAGCTGGGAGGTGGATCAGCAATCATATGGGATTTAAACGTCCACTTATGGTGGATGTTTAGTCTATTACGCTAGTTCAGTAAAGACTGAACTAAGAAAAATACAGTTACTACAGATGTTAAATTGGTACTCAAATGTAATACATTTTGAGGCTCCATGAAACTAATATTCATATTACTATTGGAAGAATCCAATATTCTAAGTATCATGAGACTCTCATAAGATTATCAGTTGTTCACTGATGAAAATGAGACATGGAGATAAGCAAAAAAAAATACCTGAACAGTTATCTTGACATTTTTACATGGAAATGTAAAGCTTTTCCAGGCTATGAAAATAGCATGGCATTACCTGAAAGACTCACTGCTGGCAAAGCCAGGCCCAATTCTATACCCCACATTAAGAGCGCCCTTCCAGCTCTCATCTGGTGGAGCGTTTCCTCCCAAATACCTGTTAAGAGAAAAGCAAAAGACTGAGAATCACAATTTGCAAGGGGCAGCCATGGGGCTAATATTGCATCTATACGTCTAAGAAATACTTATTGAGCATTTAGTAAGTTACTTTATTTTTTTAAGATTTATTTGTTTTCATTGGAAAAGCAGATTACAGAGAGAAGAAATCGAGAGAAAGATCTTCCACCCATTGGTTCATTCCACAAATAGCCACAACTGCCAGAGATGAGCTGATCTGAAGCCAAGAACTTACATATATATATTCCTGTGGGGCTTACATTCTACTGACACACCCATAACTGAGATATATACAACATGCTACTGATAACTGCGAAGGAGAGAGAGAGAGGAAAAAAAAAAAAACAGAATAGTAAAGGAAGATGGACAGAACCAGACTTTGGGGCTGATGTCGTGATGTAGTGGGTTAAGCCATCGGCTGTGTGTCAGTTTGAATCCCAGATGTTCCCCATTACAATCTGGCTCTCAATGTGCCTAGGAAAAACAGTGGAAGATGGTTCAAATGCTTAGGAGATGATGAAGTTCTTGGCTTCTTCCTGGCTCAGCCCTGACCCTGCACCAGTGAATGGAAGGCCTGTCTCTTTGTCTCCTTTAAGAATAAGCCCTCTGCTCTTGATTCTAATGACTTACACAGAGAGCCACCAACTGCAAGAATTCATGACTGTTAGGGGAGAAAAATTAATTTGCACCGAAGCTGCTAATTCCATTGTAGGTCCTCATTTGAAAGCATGATTAGGTTGTGCTAATTGACACAAGGAGGAAGGGTAGAAGTGAGGGAGGCAGAGTAGAGTGGGAAGTATCCTTATGCTCTTAAATCTACATATAAAATACATGAAATTTGCTCTCATTATAAATCTTTAAAAGCTAAAAAATTGAAGTTGGGATTTAATAAAGCAACATCAATTATAGGATACAATAAAAGCAGGTCTTGTACACTGTACTCCAGCTAGTGTACTATGCATTTTACATATATGATATCAAAGTGACCCTATCAGGGAGAGGCAGTTACTGTCTTCAGCTTGTAGATAAAGAAAAAGAAAAGGAAGATTATGTGATTGGTATAAAGTCACATATCAAGTAAATTGTTGAACATTATCATATTTTAAACTATAGGCCAAGTATAAATACACATCTAAGGAATCTAACAAAATCCAACCACTTAAGAAAGGTCAAACCAATATTTCTATCCTTTGACATTTAACCACTTCAATAGAGCAATGCTGTAGGATTAATTCTTATTTACAACACTCACCTTTAATCTCTGGAGAGAAAAGATGGTATTAGTGAGGACATTTAGCCTAGTGGTTTGGATGCCAGTGAAAGATGCTACGTCCTATCACAGTGTTGTGGTTGGAAACAGCTACAGCTATTGCCAGTCCTGAGAGTTTCTGCCTTATGAGAGGCCTGAATTCAGTCCCTGGCTTTGGGAGTTAGCCAGTGAATGGGAGTACTCTGTTTCTGTGCTTCTTAAGTAAATTAATTTTAAAAATGGCTCTCAATTCTTTACTGAACTTTCCACTTGGTTTGTCATGTATGCCCTCTTTATTATTTATCTTCATTAAACTTTGCTTAGGATGCTTACTTTTGAAAAAAAAAATAAATTGATATGTTCTTTCATTGCTACTTCCAGAATTTCTTTAAGGTCAAAATAACGTTAATTTTTAAAAATCAGAAGTAGAACATCTTGTTTAAAATATCTTAATTTCATATCTACGTAGAAGACTATACCGTAATAGTATTTCTGCATCATTGTATCCAATGGGATGAACAGGTATTTTGGGAATTCCCACTCCTTCTTCAACATTAAGTCTGAAAGTATATTCTGCAAAAGCAAGCCCATAAATGAAAACAATTGAATAATCTAAATAAGATGTATACAGGAATTTATTTTAATACTGTTTCATATTTGCTACACATTTTCAAGTAAATAAAAATTTGCTAAAAAGCTCAACAGTTGTTTTTACTTCTTAAAAATGTGATTTAGTAAATTTTGAATCATTGGTGTTAAGATGAAATCAATTAGAGATATTACAATTTCCAAAATTTTTGACAATTCACATAATTCTCTTAAAATTTAAAAGTCTTTTATTTCTTCAAGATTATCTATAGCCTTTTTAAAGAAGTTTCAGTTGGACACCTGCAAAATGTGTACCAGATTTTGAAAACAGAAATGCATGAAAACAGTAACCAAAAGGATTTTGTGAGATTTGGAAACTAATGAAAAATATATTTTTCACAATCATACAGTGTTCTCTTTAAATGTAGATTGGGAAGTATTTTCAGCCTTAAAATCTCATTGAGGCTTTGGCTTCCAACCAAGAGGGATAAAACAGACAGGATTTAGCTTCACATTTGCAGCAATCTACAATTATAGTAATGATAGAAAATATGAAACTGCAGTTTTACATAAGATATGTATTTCTTTGGTTTTTATTTGGAAAGCAGAGTAATAGAAACGGAGAGTCAGAGAGACAGATAATAAGATGAAGAGATCCATCTACCTACTCCCCAGATGGTTGCTATCATCCTGGCTAGGCCAGGTCTTCCAGGAGCCTGGAATTCCATCCTGGTGTCCCACAGTGGGCACCGGGGTGGCAGGGGGGCCCTCATCTGGACCATCTTCTGCCGCCTTTACAAGCATATCAACAGAAAGGTGGTTGTAACCAACTTTATTATTTTTTAAAGATTTATTTATTTTTATTGGAAAGGCGGATATACAGAGAGGAGGAGAGACAGAGAGGAAGATCTTCCGTCATATGGTTCACTCCCCAAGTGACCACAACGGCTGGAGCTGAGCCAGTCCAAAGCCAGGAGCCAGGAGCTCTTCCGGGTCTCCCATGTGGGTATAGGGTCCCAATGCTTTGGGCCATCCTCAACTGCTTTCCCAGCCCACATACATGGAGCTGGATGCGAAGCAAGGCTGCTGGGATTAGAACCGGTGCCCATATTGGATCCTGATGCATGCAAGGTGAGGACCGTAACCACTACGCTACCGCGCCAGGCCCCATAAGCAACTTTATAACTGGCTGCTGGATCTATGTCATGCATAGATTGAACCACAGCTTGCAAAACCTGCATCCCATGACTGAGCTCTGAATTGAGTCCTGGTGGCTCTGCTTCTGATCCAGTATATTCCAATCAATGTTTCTGAGAGATCAATTTTCAGTAAATTTAGCTAGACATTTAATTTAATCCATTAAATTCAAAAGGTGCTTTTTGGTGTAAATTCTCATGAAAGGATCAAGAATAACCACAAACATTTTGAAAAGGGATACGTTGTAAGTCTGAAGACTTGCCTGTTTGGAAAAAAATTTAGAAGATTGGAATTCAGTGGAATTCTAGTCCAGCAACATGATGCTCACATCGGGGTAGGTCTTTGACCTAACAACTAAGATGATGCTTAGGACATTGGATGAGGTTTAGGGATGCCTGCGTTCAAATGCGATCTCAATTCCACCTTCCTGTGAATGCATGCTCTAGTAGGCAGCAGATGACACCTCAGTAGTTTAAGACCCCCACCTTGTTAGGACTCCTGCACTGAGCGGTCAGCTCCTGGGTTCAGTCTGTCTGTCCTTCAGCTGCTGTGGGTATTTGGGGAATGAATCAGCAAAAGTGAGTTCTTTCTGTCTCTCTCGGTCTTTTTGCCCTACAAATGATGAAAATAAAGATTGTCGTACTAAGGGTTGACTCATGCACTACTGCTGGAACGTAAGAAGGTTCAATTGCCTCAGGAAACAACTTGGAGCCTTCTTATTAGAAAATTGAAAATCCGGGCCCCGCGCAGAGTGGCCTACCGGCTCAAGTTCTTGCATTGAACGCGCCTGGATCCCATATAGGCGCTGGTTCTAATCCCGGCATCTCTACTTCCCATCCAGCTCCCTGCTTGTGGCCTGGGAAAGCAGCTGAGGACGGCCCAAAGCTTTGGGACCCTGCACTTGCATGGGAGACCTGGAGGAAGTTCCTGGCTCCTGGCTTCGGATCAGCACAGCACCAGCTGTTGTGGTCACTTGGGGAGTGAATCATCGGACGGAAGATCTTCCTCTCTGTCTCTCCTCCTCTCTGTATATCTGACTTTGTAATAAAAATAAATATTTAAAAAAAAAGAAACAAAGAAAGTTGAAAATCCATTTACTAAATTATCCAGTGATTCTATTTCCAAGTATTTACTCAGGAAAAATGGAAGTATATGTACATACATAACTTTTACAAATGCATATAGCACATTAATGTGTAATAGCTCCCAGACTGAGAATGATCCAAATGTACAAAAAGTAGAAGGACAGACAAGCTTTGGTGTCAACATTCAAGGGAATTCCCATCAGCAATGATGACATAATGAACCGCTGATAGACACGGTGTGGATTGCAGTGCAGGATCAGGGCATTGGAGGAGCTGAAACGAAAGAATTCTGAAAGGATGAGAGAAAACATTTTGGGGGAAATGGATTTTTTTTTTTTAATTTTGGCTGTAAGAGATGGTTTCAATATATACCAAAATTCCAATTTTGTTTTTTAAATAACACTGTTAGAAAATTTTTTGACATCTTAAAAATTGGTGTATTACCTAACGATGAAGACAATTCCTGGGAAGTTCAGGAAACCTAAATTCCAGTTTGAGAAGAGCAGTATTCCTTGGGGTATGAGGAGCTGTGTGTCTGACCTTTACTCTGCCAAAGGTAGGCGAATTCCAGCCCACAGCCCATAGCCCACACTAAACAAAAATTTAAAGCTAAACTAGTGGAAGAGATACGCTTTTAACTTCCTAGCAATGGTATGCCAAAATGATATATTACAATTTTAGTTTGAACGTTATTCTTTTGATATTTGCTTTTGTCTGTCCAAAACGGCAAGAAATACTTTTGCAAAAACAGTGAACAGACAAGTTCATTGATTACCTTTAGCTGGATAGCCTGGAGTGAGTGGGTCACCAGCACCATTCAAATTTAACACATTTCCTCTCTGGGCGACAGTGCCTGGGAGATTCCATCCTTTGGGATATGGCTGTACCTCAGGGGCAAAGTAGTCAGCTGGATCTGAGTACAAGATGATCCCTATGGCTCCCGCTAGCATGGCATTCTTAACCTGTAGGGAAAGCGTGTGACTGATAATACAGGAATGGCACGATTAGCTTATTGTTTTTAAAAGCACTAACCTAACAATGTAAGGAAACAAACATTACTTTTTTTTTATTATACCATTAACACATTCAATTACCTTTGCCTTGAATATAATTTCCTTTATTGGTGCCCTGACCAATGCCTATTTATTCTATGAAACAGGTTATCATCTCTTCAATGAAGTATTCCTATTATTTCCAAACTGAAAATTAACGTCTCCTTTCTTCTTTGCACTTCCATGTTTTGTTAAATTTCTGTGACAAAACATGCTATAGGTTACTAGTCTTTTATGTCTATTTCTCATACCTAACTGACAGTTTTATTGAGACAATGCCCTATGTATTCTTTGTATTTAAATATTTTCTACCCCAAATCTCACACACCAAATAATAAGCATGTTATAAAATATGTGTGAAACTCACCTGATACAGATTTTTATTGAGAAGAGTCTTACTATATGAAAAACTGCCTAGGGTATTTTAATAAGAATATTCCTAACAATCCAAATTGGATAAGAATAGGACAGACAGCCTGGGGTCTGCTACGGTAGCCTAGTGGCTAAAGTCCTTGCCTTACAAGTGCCAGAATCACCTATGGGCACCAGTTCTAGTCCTGGAGGCCCTGCTTCCCATCCTTCTCCCAGACTGTGGCCTGGAAAAGCAGTCGAGGATGGCCCAAAGCTTTGGGACCCTGCACCCATATGGGAGACCTGGAAGAGGCTCCTGGCTCCTGGCTTCGGATTGGCTCAGCTCCCGCTAGCTGTTGCTGCCACTTGGGAAATGAATCATTGGATGGAAGATCTTCTCTGTCTCTCTTCTTTTTTTTTTCCCAATAAAAATAAAATAAATGTTAAAAAAAAAAAAGAACAATCTACTCTGTGAGAAACTGAATTCTTCATTACAAAAAGTATTGTAACTGAAGATTTTTAACACATTTTTTAATATTCAGGAACAATTTTGTTATGTATCAGTGGAAACATAACCTGTCATAAATTTTTGAAAGAACATTAGGTTGTGCCAATCAAACTTTTGATAGAATGTACATTATGGTTTAGTCACTTCTTCTAAGATTTCATTCTGCAAAATTAACACAAATTTGGACATAGATGTTCACATGAATTTACCAATACAAGAATTACTTATATTGGTAAATTTAAGATGAGCAAATAATTCATCAACAAAGAAGTGATTGAATACATTGCTTGTCAGTTCTGCTAAATATGCCATCATTTGAATTATTAGTGAAGTATTTAACAAATTGCTACCATCAGATATGATGCTAAGTTCTCTGACAGATAAAAAGTCATTTAATCCTAAGCAGGACACTGTGAGGCTGCTGTCATTACCATTTACATGTTATACACGGGGAGCTTTGGCATAGTCATTGAGTCACATAAATTATAATGAAAAATCTAGAGAACAATCCTGGACTAGCCTAATGGTAGTTGATAAGAATCTACGGATCAACGAACTTCACTACTATTATGTCACTCTCAGTGTGCTGACATAGAAAAATATGACCAGGCCTGGTGCGATAGCCTCACCTTGAACGTGCCTGGATCCCATATGGTGGCAGGTTCTAATCCCAGCAGCCCTGCTTTCCATCCAGCTCCTTGTATGTGACCTGGGAAAGCAGTTGAGGACGGCCCAAAGCATTGGGACCCTGTACCTGTGTCTGAAACCTGGAACAAGCTCCTGGTTCCTGGCTTCAGATCAGCTGCAGCTGTTGTGGTCACTTGGGGAGTGAACCATCAGACGGAAGATCTTTCTCTCTGTCTCTCCTCCTCTCTGTCTCTCTACCTTTCCAATTAAAATAAATAAATATTTTTAAAAAACATTAAAAATATGGCCAAGTGAAAAATAAATTGCCTAATGCAAAACATTATCTGTGTTTTAAAAATCTATATGTAAAGTATGCATATACATCAACAAATATATATTTACAATTCAAGAAATTGAGTCTAAAAAGAGTTACTAAGATTGATTATATTTGAACAATAAACTTGCATAATGGACTGGGTTTTTTGTGTTTTAGTTTATATAAATTTCCTTTCATAAATGTTTAATAACAAATATTACTTTGTAATAAAATAATTTAAAATTATTTCCCCTCATGTAAACTTCATGCTGCATAAAAGTAAGAATTTCTGTATACATAGAAAATAGCCACAGATCTTGCCGAACTGTGCCCATTGTCAGGTAAGGGGAACAGTGTAGCAAGTGTAAATTTGACGTTCATGGCGACTCTAGCCAGCGATATCGGTAGCTGAATGAATGGCCACATTCCAAAATCATTTTAAAATTGGTGAAGAGGTGATTTTTAAAGAAACCTTGGAAATCATGAAGCAGGCTGATCATTTACATTCAGGATATATCCACTCTCCTTTCCTCCAAAAAATAACACCATACTTTGTTTCCTCTGAAGATTTTCCCATATCTTGCAATAACAATCTTTCCAGTGCAGTTGATGTGCATTTCTCGTTGAAGTTTAAAGAAATCTTCTGTGCGAGCATAATTCACATATACAAGATCTCCCTAGGAGGGAAAGATGCAAGACCGCTGAAATTAAGGAGAAAACCAGAAAAAAAGAAAAAAAGAAAAGAAACTTTGCTTCACAATATTGCATCATCCAAAGTTTTCTTTCCTTATTTGCAATTCATAAAAGACTCATGCCGATTTTGTAGTTTTTAGATTTTTACAGATTCAGAGAAGTTAAAAATTATGGTGACAAATGAGATATATTTAAACAGCATATTCTGCATGAAATTTCCAGTATGTTCTTGATAACGAGAAATGAAGAAATGTTATTTCAAGAACTTAAGTGGCCTGATCTACCAAAACATATGAACTGTGAAAAATTGAGACTATAGCCAATTAACAGAACTTACAAAAGCACCTGCTGCCATTAGTGAGTGGGAAGCGTATTTAGTTTTATTATGTCAGAGTGGTATTTCTTCATCAGGGTCAGTTTTCAATGTATTTGTTTTCTTTCTTTTCCTGGTATGATTTTTCTTATAAATCATATTGGTTTTACTTTTAGGGGATGTGTTCACAGTACTCAATATTGAATAACAGATTGGTGTGGATGACTCACTAACTGCCTTCATTTTAATCTGACACACAGGTTTTACTTAGCAGGAAAGTTTCAAACACTAGAACCAGCAAACAACTTTGTTTTACCTCTGGCGTGCCTTGTGGTGAGAAAGCATTATATGGTGGTACAATATTTGTAACATTCTCATACCCATCTGGTGGTGGCTCAAGGTATGTTGTTTTGAAAATCTAGCAAAAATAGAAAGACTCAAATTGAAGAGAATAATTTCAGGTTATTAGAAAAGCTTAATTCAGTTTTGGGCACTGACACATTCTGGAACTAGGTAGAGCATGATAAAGAACTTTCTCTCCAGAATAACAGAACTTTTACAAATGCTAGCGATTCTAGGAAACTTAAAGTACCCTTACCAAGTGTAAACACAGAATTTCGCAGGTGACACACTCTTGAGTTTTCCTTGTCTTACTGCTTTCCCAGCTTCCTTTGTGGGACCCTTTTCTATTATCTTCATTTAAAAATCACCCATATTTTCTCTCTAAAACACTACTGCCCTCATTCTATGTTCCTTTCCTCTGACATTTGGTTAATCATTAAAATTTCACCAACAGTTGATACGCTTATGAGTCCCAGGTTTAAGACCCTTATACTCAGACTTAAGAGCCTGGCTGTTATCTCAGACTGGGTGTCCAAATTGAACATACTAAAATGTGAATTTATTCCATCCCCACCCCCAATCCCAGGTCTGCTTCTAATCCAGAGTCACCCTAAACTCACATTTTACTTTCTTTCTCCAGTCAATCGCTAATGAAGTTCTACTAATACACTCCCTATTTCTTAAATCCATTCTAAGTAACATCTTTTACTGGAATTGTTGTTTTAAGACTGCGGCTTTAGTTGCTTGTCTGGTCTAGCTGTAATCTGTAGGCATCCTTGTCAATCTCAAATGACCCTCTAGCCACTTTTGTCATTGGCTCCTGAGGACAGAAATCCTTAGGAAAGCATGTCAGTCATTTTAGGGCCATCTCTAAAACAGATGTACAGTAATCTTTAATCACAGTCTACCCTGAATTTAACATTCTTGAAATGCAAATCTTAAGTTCTATCAATAAAACTAGGCTAGCTTATGTCTCCGAGGCTTTGTCAGTATTTTGTTTCCTGCCTAGAATATTCTTGTCTTGCTTTCTCATGTGATCGACTCCTTGTGTGCTTTCATAACATATTAACTCTTAGAAAGTTTTAAACTAACCCACAGGTTGGACTTGGTGGTGTTTCTTTGAAAAACAGCCCTATTCACATTGTTTATCACACTTACCTTACTCACACTGTTCATGACACTTACCATATTAACTGGATGAAATGCATTCCACTGATAGTCTCATCTTACTTGAGCAAAGCAACCATGTATTAATTTACTGATGGCCTCATGCCTAATGTGTGGTAGACTCCTAATATTTAGTTTGAACCTCGTTGATTTTTCTTTTAGAATTTAAGATCTATTGTGTTATTGACAAACTTCTATTTTTACTTAAACCTACATTCCAATCCACATAAAAGGGTGTGTTTATAAAACATGAAAAGTACAAACAATTCTATATCACCTCAATTCCATGTTCATTCACAATTGATATATAGTTGGAATGTGTCTCATTAGGATAAGAAAGGAGAACATCATAATGAACCAGCTTGGCTGAATCTAGTCCAAATTTCTTCCACTGGGTTTGGATTTGCTTGGCAAGCAGTAAATTTTGTTCTGTTCCTGCTAGATGAGGAAGTTTTGTAAAAGAGCTAAAACAAAGATAAAACACAAGTAAGAATTAAAAACTGCTTTCAGCTGATGTGCCTATTTTGATTGCATTATTGATCCTTTAAGCATTAAGCTTTCATATCCATATCAGAGCTTTATAAAAGCCCAACCAGAAATAACAACTTAGATATATGCCAATTTGGGGCCTGGCATGGTGGCATAACAGACCTATTCTTTGTCTGTTAGCACAAGCATCCTATGCGGGTTCTGATTTGTATCCTTCCTGCTTTGCTTCCAATACATCTCTACTTACAACCTCAGAAATCAGCAGAGGATGACCCAAGTCCTTGGGTCTCTATATCCATGTGGGAGACCAGAAGGAAGCTTAGGGTACCTGACTCCTGATCAGCTCAGCTTTAGCTATTGTGACCATTTAGGAAATGAGGCAGCAGATGAAAGACCTCTCTGTATCTCTCTCTCTGTAAAATCTACCTTTCAAATAAAGACAGATAAATCTTTATATAGATAAAGATATAATCTTTACATAAAGATTATATGTAAAAATAATTGTATATATATAATTGTATATATAATTATATATAATTGTTTATATATTGTATATACATATATGTATATATATATACCTTTCTAAAAATTCAGAGTGTAACAGCAGTTTCCCTATTGTGCTCCTTCAGGAAAGAACACATTTTACAGTAAATAAAATCTGAACAGGACCACACCCAGGAAGAAGGTCATGCTACTATCCCCACGGTGCTCCTTCTTGCTGTTCATCCACAAATACAGGGCAGTTTGTAAGAAAAAAAATAACCTTAACTCCAGGGCCAGAACAATACTTTTATATTTATCTCATACCATAGCTATACTTGCTGATTTTTCCTCTTGAGGCTGCCGCCTGTGTCCAGGCTTGCTAAGCTGACTTTGGGCAATGTCCTTGCAATTCTGTGTGTAACTGACTTGTAGCTCTGATGTGATATCATACACACATTTATTAGGAAGATTCATCTTCCATCAGGTAAATACTTTTTTAAAAAAATTTTATTTGTATTGGAAAGGCAGATATACAGAGAGGTGGAAGAGAAATAGAGAGAAAGATCTTCTGTTTGATGATTCACGCCCCAAGTGGCCACAACGGCTGGAAGGAGCTGAGCCAATCTGAAGCCAGGAACCAGGAGCCTCTTCCAGGTCTCCCACATAGGTGCAGGGTCCCAAAGCTTTGGGCCGTGCTCGACTGCTTCCCCAGGCCACAGAGGCAGGGAGCTGGATGGAGAGTGGGGCCACTGGGACTAGAATTTGTGGGACCCTGGTACGTTCAAGGTGAGGACCTTAACCTCTATGCTATCCTGCTGGGTCCAGGTAAATACTTTTTAAAAACATTTTTACACGCCATCTTCCATTGGAATCTGTAGAGCAGTTATTATTATTATTATTATTATTATTATTATTATTATTATTAAGCAGTATAACTTTTTTCCATTTTTTAAATTATATTTTTGACAATCTTTACATAGTTAATTAGGCTAAAAAGTTTCAAGGGCTACAGGAATGTGGGCAAGACTGTTATTTCCACATTGTTTCCTTCATGTATCTGAGGTAAAGGGGGATATTACAGGAGAAGCCCCACCCAGTCTCCCACCCACCCCAGGTCCCCTGACGTGGGCCCCATCTTTCTCTCTCTCTCTTTCTTTCTCTCTCCTTCTCTCCCACCCCGTCTTTCCCTCTCTTATTCTCTGTGTCCGTGGGCATGTCTTAACGTATCATCAATCCTTACTTCACACCATACACAAAAATTAACTTGAAATGGATCTTTGGCCTATATATACAAATGTAAATTATAAAACCACCAAAGAATAAAACTGAAGGGAGATGTTTGCAATCTTCTCATAGGCATGGTGGACTGAAACACAGTAAATGGCCTTTATTAAAAGTTTAAATGATTGCCTTTCAAAAACACCATCAAGTCATTTTTGAATTCTCTATTGTGGGAATAGAGTTGTGATATGGCAGGGAAAGCACTGGCTGTGATACCAACATCCCTTATCAGTGCCACTTCTTAGTTTGGCTGCTCTACTTGTGAGCCAGTTCTCTGCTAATGGCCTGGGAAAAAGCAGCAGGAGATGGCCCAAGTGTTTAAACTCACACCAACCATTTAGGAAACATGAATGATGCTCCTCACTTCCGCCTTTAGCCCGGCCCAGCCCTGGCCATTGCAGCCATGTGGGGAGCGAACTAGCGTAAGGAAGATCTCTCTATATCTCCCTAAGAAATCTCATTTTTAAAAAATGTTACACATATGCCTGTTGCAACTCAGCTCTTCAGACCCAGTCATTCCATTGGAAATAAAAACAAATCCACTTAAAGACATCATTCATGGAAGTTTCATTCACAATAATAAAATTAAAAACAATTCAAATATTCCTCAACTGTACACTGCAGTGTGTACACACACACACACGTAATATATGTATGTATATATACAAAGGAAGACTATACAACAATAAAACAACGAACTACTGGAGTACACAATGACCTGAGTGAATCACAAAACTGTTACTCTAAATAAAGAAAATCATTATAAGAGTACATAATATATGATTTCATTTACTTAAAATTCTATAAGATACAAATGTTTCTGGTGATCTAGGTAATCAGTGATTACCTTGGGTCAGGAATAAATTCCAGAATGAACTTCAAAAAGAATATATATTTGCATTTTGGTGGAGGATGTGTGCCGAGTCCAGAATAATCTACCAGAACACTCTATATCTGTAAGTTTTACAGAGTTGTTTAACTTGTGGCAGGCATTTACCTTCTTTCCAGTAAATCATTGAGTCAATACCATGTAACTCTTCCTGACAGATTTTGGTGTGCTTAAGAAAGCTGTGCCGATTCAAAAAATATGAAGAATAAAGAGTCACATTCAGTTGCAGTCAAGAGCCATGAAGTTGAAACACCGCTCAGTAAGACTACCAGGTGTTTTTTGGCATACGGAATTAGGGAAGAAATTTCTATTTCTGTAACGGGGATGGATTTCAACCTACTAATGGTTAAAGAGACACTTTAAACAACATGAATGAGTGATGTATAGTTTTATACAAAGACTGCATGTAGCCAGTTTCAATCAACTTCTCACTCAGTGATGTTCTCAACACTATTTTTAAGAACGAATAAGAGAACAGAAACTCACCGAAGAAATGCTTTAATATTTTCAGCTTTCATCTCTGACAGCAGCTTCCACCGTAGGCTTTGACGATAGCGCACCGAAGTGGTTGTTTCTCTGAAAGGCTTAATAAACCAGCCTGAGGAAAAAAACATATATATGGATACGTAAGCACGCACAGATTTTGCTTTTAATATTTTGAAAAGTAGATGCAAGCAAAAAGCCCCTGTCCCCCACTCTGCCCCAGATCACTGTGGACTTTAAAAACAAAGGGGCCCCATTAAATACAGAGTATCTTTCTGGGTTGGTTAAAAGGCTTTCTTGGAGTGCTTGCTCCAGCAGCGCATATATTAAAAGGTTTGACTTTGAGTGATTGTTCTAGATTTTCTCACATGTTAGACATTAAAGCCAGGGCCTTCTTGTTTTCTCCTGTGAATCTAGTTTTTAAGACAGTAGTTCTTAGTACACACACACCCTCAAACACACCCATACTCAGGCTTCTCCTTCCACAACTTTAAGAATCAGAGAAGCTCAGTTCTTGTAGCTCTGTCGCATACCTTGGTAATTCTGATTCAGTGTTGTTTGGAAATGAAACCATTTTTCCCGTTCCAGAGGAGAGGGACAGTTTTAAAGCAGTTTCGGAAAAGCCCCTAGGAGGAGCCTCCCGGAGCATTAACATGGTGCATTCATCTTCTACTTTTGCTGAAATTCGCAGGGTTTGCCACATAAGAGGTCACTAGCCGTTGCTACCCAGCCCATAGCCCAGGCCCTTCCAGCTCCACGCTTTTTTACTTCACCTGCCTCCTGCAGCTGTTGTGCCAAGGCTAGCCAGCCTTCGGTCCGAGATGAAGCATGGGGGATTACAACTTACCCACCATAAATCCTGCCAGGAAAGACGCCAGAGCTACAGCCAAGCACATCGAAAGGTACAGACGGCCCCTGGAGTTGGCCATGGCTTCTTCTGCGCGGAGCCTTGAGCGCCTGCTGTTGTCGGGAACCTGGGGGCTGCAGAGGAGCGTGAGCCTGAGCGCCCAGAACGCCTTGAGCTCCCAAGTTGAGGCCGCTGACCTTGGTCAACCCCGCCTCCACCCCTCCCAGTCCGTGCAGAGAAAGTAAAGCAAAGCAGAGAGCTGTGGCCAACCTCAGCCTGGCTGGAATTGTCCCCAGGAAAAAGAGAAAGTGCTGCAGGGGGAGGAGGAGCTCGTGCTGTAGGCAGGCAACTTTCACTCTGAAAAGCGGGCAGGAACTGTTGAACATGTCCTATCATTTCCTAAAGAACTCAGCTAGGGCCTCTGTTAGCCCTGTCCCAAGAACCGCTGAACCTCTGCAGTACATGTCTGCACTGTTTTCCCCCGTTCCTGGCTGTCATTAGTCTGTCCCAGTTTCCAACTAGTCAGACTCAAGAATTTCTGTTTGCTGGATCGTCACTGGCAAGGGAGGTAGCATCAATACTTATGCCTTGCTTCTTCTTTCCCTAAACAAGGTTTCAGATTTATATGACCCTGCTTCGCCTCCCTGAACTGGTGCTTTTAGCTACCTGACTAGATTGTTGAAGGCCCAAAGAAGTAAAATTAAATATTGAAAGCCCTTGCACTCAAATAGCATTCATTCTGTCCTGGGCTCATCATGATTTCCACAAAGCATTTCTCTTTAAAACTGTTCAGTTTTGGGAAAACAAACAAAAAAAAGGCTCTTGGACAGAACTCCTGCCTCCAATTGTTTTTAACAATCTTTGATCGGCTTACTTTAATTAAGCAAAAAACTTTGCAGCCCAAGCAAAATTGTTGAATGGTCTTTGGAAGGAGATGACACAGTTGGCGTTAGACTCCAGCATCTGCTGTGTTATCTGCAGCCCTGGTGGCTTAGGTGAGCACCTTTCTTGCTCCTAGCAAGATGCGAGAAGAGTCTAGTTTCATTTTCTGGGGTGTAATTGTTGATGAATATTGCTTGGAAATTTTGTAGAATTTCTAATTTCTAACCAACTACCCCTGGTGGCTTGGTCGAGGTATCTGCAGTCATGAATAGTTTCTGTGTCATTAAAGCCCCAACTAATCCAGGTCTTTTTTCAGTTGTGATCCTGCTATGGCTTGGATATAACTGAAGTGTGTTTCCCAGGAAATGTAAGTGTTAGAGACTTGATCCCTAGGATGGAGATGTTAAGAGGTGAGACTTTAACAGGTTTGCATGTGATGGATGAAGCGAATTCGATTCTTATGCCGATATTTAGAAAAAAATATTTTATTTAGCCGATTAAGAAACTAATTCTCAGAATGTACTGTAGTTAGTGGAGTAACCATAAGTCTCACAACACATCTTGAAGAGGACCTCTCTAGAGCATCCACAGTTATTTTATATGTTGTATTCTTAAATAATATTGGATTTTTTCATAATGTACTATCTGAATTAACAGGTAATAAGGATCTGCATGCTATACACAATACCAAATATTTGTGTTGCACATAAACATTTTGAAAATTTATTTTGTAATTTGTGAAGTTCTAGATCTGTAGCTTCTAAAAAATGTGCTATCCATGGGATCATTTGTATATAATATATATAAAAGTAGGTCAGAACCATCCCTAGGAAATTATGAGGATTTGACCCTTAACTTTAGGAAGCCTATAATACCTTATGAAAAAGCAAACAATGTTAATCAATTAAATGTAGATATTTCATAAAAGACAGATAATTACCTCAAATGGGAACGTTGTCGATGCCCCAAAAGGCGGCATCTGCAATCTGTGTCTTGGCAATCCATTGCAGAAAACCAGCTAGCTGATTCAGCAAGTCTTTGTTCTTTTCTAATATATGGAGGCTGCAAGCATTCAGAATTCTTAGTTAACATTATAACAGTTTTGATAGAAAACTGCCATCAAAATGTTTCTAATAATTAGTATATCTTTAAAAACCAATTTATTGGTTTATTTTCTTAGGTTGGGAGGTGGGTAGGCTAAGGCACTGCCATTTTTTGGTTTACTGCTCAAGTGCCTGCTGTCAGCCAGGGCTGGACCATTCCATAGCCAGGAACTTAGTCCAGGTCTCTCTATCACCTGGGCCACCCCAATTAACTGAGCCATCACCTGTTGCCTTCCGTTGTGAAAAAACAACTATCAAAACACAACTACCTAACCCAATTGTTAGAAGCCCGGTAGATACTTACAACTGTCAATGTGTACTTTGAGAAGCATTGTTGATTTATGCTAACTTTTTTGTTTTATCTTCAAAATTAAAAGACATAAGAAATGTTTGGTATTGGCAAACTGATCTCTCTATAAACCTGTTTGGTACACTTGACCTGTTCATGATTCAATGAGCCTTTAACATAACAAAACTCATCATTTTCTCAAGTCATCAGTTTAATTTTTCTAATGCAACCTTTTCCTTCTTTATTCTCACATCATAAAACAGGCAATCTTCTAACTCCAAGTCCCTTCAACTCTGAAATTATGGCAGAGTTTGAAAGCAAAAGATGATATATATACTAAAGGGCATGTATGTGTAGATTCCTTAATATGCATAGTAATACCCAATTTTAGTAAAGAAGAAATAATGTTTAGCAAGATGATAAAATGGATAGATATTTGTTAGACCTATAGCTTCATGTTATACATTATTCATTTTCAGATATTTCCCTGTTTTTCCTAAGATGCTCACTGTATACATGCAGATATCATGCCATACATTATGTCACAAAGTGGTGTTACTAGAGAAATAATAATAGGGTCACATAATACGATCATCAAGACTGCAATGTTTACTTTCTGAAACGAAAGTGAATGATTGATGTCATAATAGCTGTGATGTGTACATTTAGTAGCTTTGAGATTTTGGGCCTCAAACTTGTTAGAAGTTAGCTTCAAACATAAAGTAACATGTTAGAAATGTAGTTCAGTGAACACAACAAAAAAGTTGTTTTTTAAAAGCAGAAGCCATGATTGGATGATTTCCTTCTGATGTCACAATTACTCTACTCAACCATAAATGTAGAAATTAGGAAAGACACACCAAATTAAAGTATAAAGTGGAGAGAGGATACTCTGACCCCGTGCTGACACCCCAGTTAAAACCTTAACACTGGTAAGTTTTATAAATTATACTTCAAGCCAGACTTGCCTGTTCAGCTTGCTCATCTCTCAATATTTATCATCAGGCTTTGCATGTGTTAGTTTAAAAGTGGCAGGATCAGGGCGCTCAGAATGCTTTCTCTTCTAATCTTGTGCTCCAATGCTTATCCTACAGCCACAGTTCTGATGTTGCTTCAGTAGTGCAGGGTTGTGATAAATCTTCTCTGTAATAATAACTATCTTCTCTGACTCCTATTTTGTCTTGGTGATTCCACTTTCTCTGAAAATCAGTTAAATGTAGACTTCCTTTTCTTGTCTCTCCTCTGACTCCTGAAGTCAGACAGGAAGGATAGAATTGTGTGATCCTTCCATGACTGCACTATGCATCCTCTTCTAACACTTCCTTATGATTGTATCAGCTAGTTCCTATTTTGATCATTGTCTCTAGTTGAACAAGATAGTGTGCAAACTTCTCCAATGGTTTTAAAGACTCCTCAAAGATTTGAGCCCGACTTCATCCTTTGGCCCTTAACTTCTTGCTGATACTTCATATGTTCTGTATCAAAAACTTAGGCAGGCATCAGTGGCTTTGCCATTAAAATGTATCTTGATTTCAGTTGCTTTCCAACTTGACCAACATTTTTCTAACCTTAGCCACGGTCGTGACACATCTTCATTTATTCAGAGCCTCTTAACCAGTCTCTCTCCCTCCAATTCTGCTGCTACACAGTGTATATTTAATTCAATGGATAGTTATTCCTCTAGCAACAGTCAAATCATTTTATCATTTAAAATCCCAAGATCCTTCCCTTTAAATGCAAAAATAAGATCCACAACTGTTAGAATGGCTACCAAAGGGTATATAATGTAATTTTTAAACCTCACCTCCCTTCAAGAGATGGTCCCGCCAAGGAAGTACAGGCCAACAAATTACATGGGGACCAGGTAAAACCACATCAACACAGATCATCAGCATCACAAAGAACCAGACAGACTCAAAGGGAGACCTTGCAATACTATGCTTTTCTAGTGGTGGTTTATAGATGTTTAAGTCCGTATGTTTACAGATGAAGGCGGCATTGTTAAACAAGGCTGATATAGAAAACCTCTGGCCTTCTATAGTGTTTTCCGGGCATTCCTAATGAGGCAAATATAATAAGAAGGGAGTATTCAACAACTATATTTCGAGGCAACTTTTGGAAAATCTAAACACTATTTTATGTTCATACTCTAGTGAGTTAATATACTTTAGTAACTAGTCTGAGCAGCTAGACTAATCAAGTACAATATAATTCATAACAGTGGAAATATAATCCCTGTTCTGCAAACCATATCCATAATAAAGATCAACCATACGGTTTCTAAACTAGAGGGTGAATGCAGGGGTCTCAGTGCTTATTCCCTGCTAAGTTTCAGACCATCCTCAAACAAAACAAAACAAAAACACACAAAAAAACTCTAGATATTTACCAGCCCTTCTCTCTATTCTTTAATGACTATAATCATTCTCTAATTTTTATACACTTAAGACTCAGGTTTATTTATTGGGTGTGTAGGGCCTTTATACCTCACCCAATATGTAAACTCTACTTAGATACACTAGCATCATATTCTTTTATCTGAAGAAATAATTTATGAACTACCTTAATGAAAATTTTATTCTATATATTTTGAGATGTATGTCATGTTTTGATATACACTTACATAGTGAAATGGTTACTACAGTCAAACAAATTAGCCTGTCACCTCCCACAGTTTTGTGTATGTGTGTGTATGTGTTAAGAGTAGATTTAGTCATCATACATAATTAGAAGTTTTTACTCTGTAATTTTTTCTCCCAATTTCCTCCCTGACACTATTCTATTTGGTTATTGTATTCAATTTCTCTAAATTCCAAATAAAAGTTAAACCATACAATACTTCTGTTTCTATGTCTTATTTCACAGATGAACAAATTCCAGTTCCAGACTGTTTTGTTGATTTATGAGAAGAGACTCTAAGAGGAGTGAGGAAGGTTCATGTTAGTAAGTTCCATGTGCTTTGGACATTCTGATAGCTTATTACAGCTTTGATTTTTTTGTGAGTACCAGACAACATTAGTTGAAACAGCAATTTCAAATCCCTATGGACCGATCTTTCCTTTGTCTCTTGATATTTTTCACTCTTTTCAGGTACAACCAGAGGGTGAAGTAATATCATCCATTGGTCAGCTGAAAACTTCTTTCATTCATTCTCTCATTGCCATTTAAAGATATTTGCACTAGTTTTTTTTCTTTGTCTTTTTATTAATAAAATTTATTTTGACATTCTTTACATAGTTAGAGTAAGAAGGTTCAAGGGCTACAGGAAAGTGGATAATACTAGTATGTTTTCCATATTGTTACCTTCATGTTTAAAGGGGGGTATGAAGGGAGAAGGCCCACCCAATTTCCCACCCTCCCCAGGTCCCGGATGTAGGGCATGCTCTGAGGTTCTTGCTCAAGTGGTTTTGATATTGCCACAGTTATGAATCGCTGTCAATCTTGCCACTCCAAGCACTATGAGGTCTTTGAAAAATCCACTGATTGACATAGTCCATCATAGCTTAGATGGTTGGTTGACCTGTTCTGTCTTCTCTCTTTTCTTCGTTGGGGTTCTGACTCCAGCATTTAGATTAGGAAGATCTGCAAAGAAACTTCTTGTATGTGCTAACAAGTACAGGGCCTGGCACCATCCATCGCTCCAATCAGCTGGTGGTTGTAATTGCTGGGTTGGTTCTGTTTTCACTCCCGACTTCCACTGGAACCAATGGGTGTTGCAGTCCAGCCTGGTTCTGCCCAGCACATGCTTGGCCCTCACATAAACCAGTGATAGCTGCAGCCTAGTTGGAGCGACCCACATAACCCCCACCAGGCCCACCCCCTACCCTGGTTTGCCAGTAAGTGTAGGAGTAATCCAGTCTGTCCCACACCCCATTCCACCCCAGCCGCTGTCTTAGTTTTATGTCCTCCCGTGGAAGTGGTAATGCAAGAGGGATGAGCCCACTATTTCCCTCCCAGGCCTCTCCCACTCCCAGATTTCAGTTGATGCTGCCCAAACAAACCTTGCCCACTTTAATTTTGTTTGCACCAGTAGGAATAATCCGCTGAGCCTGGCTTTTCCCTGATCTAGTCCACGTGAGGCACACAGGTGTGGTAGCTCTGCCTAGTCTGGTCTGCCCCCATCCCAGCCCATGCTCTCCTGCGGAAGTAGCTGTCCTGCAAAGGAACCCTCCCTTATTCCCCTGCTGGCTCTGCCCACTTCCTTTCTTGTTCTCAGGCTGGTTGGACGCTGCGGTCCCTTCCGGTACAGGCAACCTCACCTCGGCATTCCATATTGTGCACTAGTCTTTGTTGCGACCGAACCTGGTTCGACCCATACTGGTGCCTGGATTTGCCAGTGGATGACGTGGACAGATTCAGCCTGGTCTTGCCCCCATGTCTGCCAATTGTATGCCAGTGGGTAGCTTTCCATGGCCTTTTCTGGGCTGTTTCCTATCATGTTTCTTGTGCTGACCTGCCGGGTCTGTGTCCTGCCAGAGGAGTTGCCCAGGCTCCTCCATCAGAACCTCTCCCAATGCCAGGTTTCATGCTTACCAGTGGGTCCATGAGCCAACCCTACTCAGTCCACCTCCTGTCCTAGCAGGAACTGTGGATTTTCCTGACTGGCCTTCCAC